ATCATACATTCTTCCCCTCTTCACGTACGGCTTCCCTGCCTGGTCCACCATTAACAAAACCCACATAGGTAAATTAGAAGTTCTCCATCGCCGTATACTGCGAATCATATTCCGTACTGATCGTTATACCTCAAATCTAGACTTGTATGCTGCTGCATCCACTACCACTCTGCAACATTACCTTGATGCTTCCAAGTGCACCCTGGCGTATTCAATTTTCCTTGACCAGCACCCTGCTCATTTACAGTCCCTTAATTGGTTCAATTCAGGTGGCACCACCCGAAGCTGCGTTCGTCTCCCCCTAGCTAGGTCTACCCTATTCGTAAATTCCCCTTTCTTTTCCTCCTACTCCACGTGGCTCCAACTGCCTCCCAGTGTTAGACAAGCTCCAGATATGCCCAAATTCCGTACCCTCGTCAGACAGCACTTCAGTATCTCCCAGTAAACAAAGTCACAGTCACCACTTCCGCTGCATAGCTCGCTGAGCATCCCATTGCTTTGTAAGTTGCTAATCCCTTCCCACTTTGTGTACGTGCTCTTAATTTTCTTTTTTTCTCTTCTTCCGTGGTTGGTCTCACCCTCTCCTCAATTCAATTGGCTGTCTTGACATGCCACGAGGTGCAGAAATAAATAAATAAATAAATAAATAAGTAGATGGGTGGGCAGTAGAAGGTGTCATTGCACAAGGAATGCTATTTAAGTATTTTGGTTCTATACAAAAGAAGGAGCTGAATGCGATGTGGGCAATGGGCAAAAGAGGCGGTTGAAAGTGCAGCAAAAGGTCTACTGTACAGTTGTAGACTAGTACGTAGTAGTATTTCCAAGGTCAATATGAAACATTGAATGCAGTGAGACTAGGTACTATCCATGTCATGGATCTGCAAGCACGGTACAAAGTTAGTTGCAAATGCGGGGTACGGGTTTGGTGTAACACGCGTGACCAATACATTTTTATCACTTAAAAGTGATTCACGCTGCAGCTGTGTAATCATGGTAATAGTTACTACTAGCGTGCCAACGCTACACTAGCACGTTTTTTCGCCACTGCTTCGCTTTGAGAAGAAGAGGTTGACCATTGGCCTTGGTGCGACTTCGCGATTCGGCGATACTTACTTCGGGTGTGTTGCTCCTGGGAGCTTGGCTTTGATTGCTGACAAATCTTATTTTTATGTCTTTTACATGTTTCCTGACTCCTTCACTTGTGTGATGATGTACACTGTCACTGACTCTGTTACAGTCTGTACTGCTGTTGTTTTGCCCGCTAGCCTAGAGCTCCTGACAGTGATACAGTACTGTACTAGTAGTAGTAGTACACTAGTACTATTGTACTAGTACTAGCTAGGTAGGTGAGACGCGTGTGAGAGCAACACGACAAAAATAAAAATAAAAATTGTTTTAATACATGTAGTGTGAGCTAGGGCCTAGGGGTATGCCGGTATCCGATACGCAATCTTCGGTAATCATCGATACCGAACCGTGCGATTGTAGCTTTAGTAAATGGCTTCAGAAATAATTGGGGAAGGCGTTATTCATTGCTCCAAAGCTATGGACGCTTCTAAACTCGCCCAGAAATCGCTCCCGCGGCAATGTTGTGAACATCAAGTAAGTAGTTAGCAAGCTGCTTCAATGAAGTCGAGCTGCACGACTCATTCTTTTCTTGGAATGGTGCCGAGGAAGTACGTGAGATTTGCGCTAAGAGCAATGGGCTTGTTATTCCTTGCGGCAGTGGCCACTGTCGCCGTTAGCAGAGTGGGCAGTGTAAAGGATCATATCGGCCACCTGTCAGGGAACACGAAGTTCTCAGCAGGAAACAGGCCAGACGAGGACGGCGGAGAGGATGGAGGACTCGTGGAAAATGCCTTCTCAGTCTTGCCCCGACACCGAGTCCAAGATGCGGCGGATGCGGATCCTAACGCTGCGGACGGCGTGTCCAGAAGACGCGGTCGAAAAAAGAGTCACAAACCAAGGTTGATGGGTGCATTGTCACCAGCTGCAACAGGACCGGGTATGTCAGCCTCAATACGCCCGCTGGACATTCATGTGAATCAAGAGTATCACGTGAAAGGTTTGTACATGGTGGAGGAGAAAGAGGCTTATCTGCCGTTCAAATTTGTACGGAAGTATTTCGATATCTATGGTGATGTGAAGGCAAGTAGCAGTAGCAGTAGTGTGAGCAGCGAGGGCAAGATGCGGCTGACGTTCTCGCACTCGTACGGCCGACCTTTCTCACCGCCGAAAACGTATACGCACCATGCGGCGGGAGCCTTCCTGAACTTTGGTACGTTCAACGTGGCCGGGCGGGAGCGAGTGCTGTACATGGATGAGTACGACGTGCCGGTGTCCACGCAGTGGGATCCGAAAGGCTATCACTTTGCCACACAGATCTCGCAATACGGCCTGCAGCACTACTCCAATCTTGTCCACCCGGTGAGTTGGCATGTTCTGCAGCATGGCTACTATACAGCTGCCGTAATTTCCGAGATGTTAGCTGCACCGGGGTCTATGCCCCCTCCCCCCCCCCTCCCTTTTCGGGCCCATCATTCGTATTTTTTGGTGTTCATGCCGAGTTACGTAATGCAGGTCATTGTTTCTTAACAGAGGTAATAGGGAGGTTTAGTCCCACGTAATTCGTGGGTACTTTACGTGTGTGTACCACGTGATACTCAGTGACCCACGTACAGACGTTTTCTGATTCACGACATACCGTGTATGGAGGCTCACCCACGTTCCGCCAGAACGTGGGTGAAAATCAGAATGGAGCGCATTGTGCGAGCTGTGAGGGTGCTCAGCTGAATAAGTTTCCGAAGCACGAAATCAAAATATTGGATGAGCTTCTTAGGCCGGGGTAGCTTCGTCTTTGACCAGGTTTTGGCCTTTCGCTTCATGCTTTTGTTTGTTCCGTGTGACTAAACACAACATTGCAACGTGGGTGCCCTTCATCCACTTTACGTGGATCACCCACGTACGCGTTTCCGTTACGTGGGAACTAAACCTCCCTAATGAAGGCAACAGACCTCCCCCACCCACCCACCCCCACGCATACACATATGCACGTGGCTCTCTGTCGCAAGAGAAGCATGCCTGGCAATTAGTGAGTGCACTAAATGGTTTCCTCTCATGGGCAAGTTTTGGTGACAGTAGCAGATATGCATGACCTGGTTTAAGCTAATAATAACTACATATAACGCTAGCCACTAGGTAACTACCTAATTCACGTAGCTGACAAGATCGTATGTCAATTTTCCCCAACACACACCTGCACTCAGACATGCAAATACTCGTACATGTACATGCAGCACTCCAACGCACATGAATGTGTGTGTATGCCCCTGCCCTGCCCCCCCCCCCCCCGGGCCCCCCTGCACGTACCATGTCCATACACACACACACACACACACACACACACACACACACACACACACACACACACACACACACACACACACGCCATTTGGACCATTTGGACCATTTGACGCCCATCGCCAGAGGCGATGATAGCGATGCTACACTGCAAAGCCATAGCAGCTTGTGCTGGGATTGCGCCATCCAACAGCTTGCAAGGCTGAAGCACACACACACATACTCATTCTCCTGCCCATCGCTGAAGTGATGATAACGAACTAACTATATAAGGCATACTGTCACATAGCAGCTTGTGCTGGGATTACACCATTCAACAGCTTGCAAGGCTGATGAATTGACTGCCACTAATTTTAATCTGGTCTACACCACATGGCTGGTTGAAGTGGCTTTTTCTGGCCAGTGAATCCCTATTTTTCATTTTCATTTTTTACACACACCACATATTCCGACATCACACACACACACACACACACACACACACACACACACACACACACACACACACACACACACACATATTGCCGTAAACTGGGCACATGGGTCTCCCCACCAGAGGCCGGAGGGAGATTCAAAAGGAATGTTGGAAAGATGGTTCAACTGGCTAGTTGTTCAGCCGCCCAACAGCTGAATCCCGAAGCATTAGACTCTGTGTGAACCTGGAATTGGTCTGCTTGTAGAAAAATTCGACTGTTATTCAATGGATTGTGAACCCTGAGGAGTCTCCCGCTGTCGGGAATTGGACTGTCCGTGAACGCACTGGCAATACCCTGAAGGTTGCCCGCGATTCAGAGCTTGGCCAAGACGTCCTAGCGTTCTGCACAGAAGGTACACAGCACACCCTCTTAGCATGATTATTTTGCTCATTCTTGCATCTGTTGTTGTTGTTGTTGTTGTTGTTGTTGACTTTTATTTTACTTCACCAATTGCACAGGCATGATTGCCTTCTTACCGGCCCATAGGTCCGGTTCTCACAGAAAGATGAAGGATCTAGCGTATAACATCTCCGTTTTGCACTCGTAGACATGGAGCGTAGTGGTACCTGGCACGTTGCTTTACAAGATCACTGGCAATAGCTTGAGTCACGACTCAATTATGAACCTCTCCCGAATATTTAAAAATGTTTACAGAATGATTTGGCGAGCTGCTTTTGAACTGACACCGAGTACGGCGAATTCGTTAACGCGCAACGTCTCCAAGATCTCTATCCTATCGGAGTGTGACTCGAAGTATTGCATGCCTGGACAGTACTGAGTTGCATGCCTGGACAGTACTGAGTTGCATGCCTGGATAGTACTGAGTTGCATGCCTGGACAGTACTGAGTTGCATGCCTGGACAGTACTGAGTTGCATGCCTGGACAGTACTGAGTTGCATGCCTGGACAGTACTGAGTTGCATGCTTGGACAGTACTGAGTTGCATGCCTGGCCAGTACTGAGTTGCATGCCTGGACAGTACTGAGTTGCATGCCTGGACAGTACTGAGTTGCATGGTTGTCACAGTCGGGTTCACAGCTTGATTTTATTTGCCATGCATGCTACGTTTCTGCTACGTCTGTGTACTGGACAGCATCACGGTTCCGAAGTAGCTAAGGTGTTGTTGCTGCCTTTTCTGTTTTGCTTGTTTTTCTCTAGTGGCACCAACGGGTATTAGAGCAGGTGTAGGTATAACTTATCCAGTGGCCAAGTTTTCCGCTCCAACATTGCGGGTTGTCTCGGCTGGCTTCAAGATGACCGGTGATGCGTTGTGTTTGTCCTTTCAAGTTCTGGTAAGATTTCAAACAATAGCGTCTGGGCTAAGAATGGTAATTTAAAAGGGGGACTCTGGACTTCGTGTACAGAGTTTGGATGCTAATTCGAATGGTGTTGGTCCAAGAAGGCTGCAGTGGAGTCATTTGTCAGGTATTCCTAATCAAAGTTCCATGTGCGGTGTGTTATATCTGGCAAGGAAAATTAGTAAGGGCAGCTGTGGAGCCGCCACACTGTCAAGTGAATAGTTTGCAACATGGCTGGTTGTCGAGCTGGCTGGATCTGGGAGCAGTATATTGCAGTCTTTTTTTTAACTACAGTCAAACCTCTTTAAGACAAACACCAAGGGATTGATGGTATCTGTTCGCAATAACGGGAGTTCCTCTGATCCATATTTTCCTAACCAGTGGATACAAAATGATTTATCAAATAGAGTTGTGAATACTAGTTCTTCTAAAGCGAAAGTTCGTCTTGTCAGTGTTCTTCTTAATAACGAGCCTTCACTGTAGGACCATTTAGCTTATTGTCCAAAAGACTGTGAATTTTTTAATTTCATTCACTGCATGAGTAATACCTTGTCATAGTGCTTTGTCACAGCTACTCTCTACACTTCGTGCATATTTTATGAGTTATGACAATAGTCACTAGCGCATCAAGCAGTACACTGTCTGTCATACAGAGTCACGTGTGCAGCGTATTTGAATAGCATGCACCATAGAATCCTTGGCAGTGCCTGAAACATTAAGATCATATCCTCTTGTGGGATTTGAGTGGAAGGCTCTGTTAATCAGAGCAGGGTGTGATATATCATTCTCCAATAGAACTTTTGTGTCTGCCAGGACAGGTCGAAACCCAGTGACTTGAAAAAAGAAGAGAAAAAGTTCCTCTGTGTACCTCCCTTCGAGAGATACCGAAGTAAAAGAAGAAGAAGAGCGGTTCTTGATTTTTTTAACGTACCGCTATTCTTATGGAGAAGCTGATCACATGTGATATATCATTCTCCAATAGAACTTTTGTGTCTGCCAGGACAGGTCGAAACCCAGTGACTTGAAAAAAGAAGAGAAAAAGTTCCTCTGTGTACCTCCCTTCGAGAGATACCGAAGTAAATGAAGAAGAAGAGCGGTTCTTGATTTTTTTAACGTACCGGTATTCTTATGGAGAAGCTGATCACATGTCCTGATCATACTTTCTGATTGCGATGCTGTTACTGATAACTGATTTTGAGATCTTGAGGATCGTGATTCTTTCTGGTAGCTGGGAATGTGATTTCCTTGAGTTTGATCAACGTTGTTGTCTCTTCTTTCATTCATTGAGATGTGACATCATGGCTGTATGTGACTGCAGATGACAGACAAGACGGTCTACACGGTGCACTATGATACAACAGCAACGAAAACCCTGGAAGTGCTGGGGGAGGCGTTCCGGTATCGCCTGCTCGCGAAGAAGGGTCAGTGGAGAGTGTTTGCAAGAGATCTGCAGGTAAGAGGGGCTGTGTTGGCAAGTCTCCAGGCAGTATGTGTATGGCAGTCATTGCAGGACTGTTGGTTGTTCAGTGGTGTGTTGCAGTTAGTCCCCTAGTAGTCCCCTTTACAGTGTGACACATGTCGTATATCTTCGGAGTATGTTGTGTGAGCATTGAAGGCAGTACGTGCAGGTTGAGTAGCACAGTTATCAATTCAGTGACTATTGATTTGATGAATGTTGCTTCTCTCTGGTTCTGACATGCTCTGGTTCGTGCAGATTGATATCCAACGTGCCGTGGTGTTTGAAATACGCAAGAAAGACTCCACAAAGGTATGTCATGGCTAACATATCGACTGCCTCTGAATAGGAGAGGCAATGGGCAATTTAGTTAGACTAGCAAGTGGAGTTGTGTGAAAGTGCAGTGTTTCTCTTTAAAACTATTTCAATGCTCTCCCAGAAGCTGGAGTGGTAGTATAGCGGTGCTTTCAGACTCTCAGCCATATACTAGAAGCGCACTAGTCCGGTAGTCTGCATGTACTATTTTGACATTTTTCATGTACAATGTACTGATGACATTGATGCCAGTTCGACCAAATGCCTAGGGATTTCGAACATGCATCTGAAGACCAAGGTAGTGTGTCTCTCGCTTTCACATTTCAGGCTAGTGTTGATGCACATGCAGTGACATGCCTGGCCTGTTGTCATGTCAGTGTACACCTGTAGTGCACTGATGTCTGCTCGGCGTCTTGTGTTTCCGCCGGTATGTTCTTTTTCTCACGTTTAGCCCATGCGGGAGTCTGCCTCGGCGTCGGTGAAAGTTGTCCGTGTGCAGTCCCTCGCGGTGCGTGGCTGTGGCGTGTTCTCGAATTTGTCGCTGAGGTCGGATGCACACCTGACCATGACAATGGCTGCGGTGGACTGGTTGCTATTGAACCAGGTAGGCCATTCCTGCTGCTTACCCAGCGATTTGTCTTGGCATAAACCTCTCTTGCTATTGTTTTGCCTGTATGAAGAAGTCCTTGGAGCAAATTCACTCTTTTTTCAAACTCATTTGTGTTGTGTGGCTCTGGCAGTCCTTTGGGTTTATATTGGTGCTTCCATAGGGACGTGTAAATAGTATACCCGTGCGAATTTAATCTATTTTTTATTGTTGTCTCAGGATTCCAAAACTGGTGGCTGGCCCACCCACGCTGTGCGCACACTCAAGCCTAATCTGGTCCTGCAGCCGGGCTGGCTATCTGCAATGGTGCAAGGGCAAGCCATGTCACTGCTAGTGCGCGCATACTCTGCCACTAAGATCAAGGTACGGCGCAGCAGTAGAGTTGCAGTAGTGGAACGAAAGCAAACCCGTTCGTTTCAGTGCTCATGACAATTGTCACGGACCTGCATTCCCGCGTGCACGCGTACATGTTGACATCCATCCGATGTGCGCACACAGCATCACACATGTATATCAGTAACAACTCAATCTGGTGGTTTGTGGGATTATGGCTGTCATCATAAGGTTTTGTAAAGCCAAAGTCAGAGGTACGGATTACAGTGTGGTTGTTATGCCACTGCTTTGAAGCTGTTCAAATAATTTGCCTGCTGGCAAGTCATGTGACTCGAGCGTATGGATAAATGACATGGGACATGAGTGATCATGTGATGCACTTTCACCTGCTCCAGTGTGCTTCATGGCCTGTATCCCGTGGGACGGTGTGTCTAAATACCATGGCTGCCTCAATGTTGATCTTGCTTTCTTTTAGCTCGGACGGTGAGCCAATTGCATTCACGGGTTAAAAAAATCACGGTTCACTTGAGACTCAGCCAGATTGAGCCTTTGCAGGAACGCCATCACCCTACAAAGATCTAATGTGCAGATGCAGCTCCTAAACAAATCACGGAAAAAGAAAGGACAAAATGTTTGTTTTCTTCCTATCACCTTGCAGAAATACCTTGATGCGGCTCTGAAGGCAACCCAACCGTTTCTCAAGCTGGCCAAGGATGGAGGTGTCAAAGCCATCTTCCTAAATGAGTACACATGGTACGAGGAATATCCAACACAGCCATCTTCGTTTGTCCTCAACGGCTTCATCTTCTCCCTGCTGGGTCTGCACGACTTGGCAGAGGCGGCGAAACAGGCTGGGATTCAGTCGAATGCGGAGGAGTTGTACAAGGCCGGTGTGCGATCACTCAGGGCAATGGCTATGCTCTATGATACAGGTAAGTTTCTGTGTGTATGTGTGTGTGTGTGTGTGTGTGTGTGTGTGTGTGTGTGTGTGTGTGTGTGTGTGTGTGTGCGTGTGTGTGTGCGTACGTGTGTGATATGTGGAAAACTACCAGTCAGACTCTCGTGCAAACCGTGCAGTTTTTTAATGATCGAGGTGGGCACACGTTTTAAAGCAGCCAGTCATGTCATTATAATTAGCGATGTCAGAGGACGTGCCACGTGACCTGTCCTGCGTGTCGCTGGATTCCATAGCAACTAGCTAAAATGATGGCACACGGGCCCGAGTACCCAGTATGCCCGGCGCGGCTAGAGCGTGGGGTACTGGGTGCACAGCATCTTCAAATGTGTACTGAAGACGTCAGTGCCAGGCTTTGAAATTTGTCATGCCACGAGAATAGAAGATGAACTTTCGTATTCGCGTTTGTGCGAGCGCGCTGCGCCCAATGAACTCAGAGTACTACTGCCGACAAGTTCGCATATGTTCAGTTGCCGTTTTCACCTCTTGCGCAGCCTGATACGCGTTTGATTTTAGTTCCATCGTGTTCCCCGTCGTCCAATTTAGTTTGCTGCTAAGTTTCACCGGCGTATCACGCTGCGCACCAGACTTGTAGTATTTTTCGCGACAGGTACTCAATTGCTGGATACAACGCCATCATGAGTGCTTCGTCCAGCAAAGGGACCGGCGGTGAAGATGTCTTGTCGAGTCTTGGACTCAAGGAGGAGCAGCTATTGCAGGATAAGCCCCTGCCTAGCATGATCGGAAACGTTTCAAATGCATTGGTGTTAGAACTGATGAAGTTCAAAGCGGACCACCACCAGGATCATAATCTACTTGTCGAACTCTTCTTGTCTCGGAGAATGGCCAAATCACAACTCATACTTCGGCTACTCTTCAACAGTCTTCTTGAATTTCTCCAACAGTTTGCAGCAAAAAATAAATAAAACAGTACAGCTACGGTATATACGTATGTACATTTTGTACAGTGCGCAAGATTATTCATGACCCGCGATCCCTGTTGTCAAGACCGATTTTGTGCCGTGGCGTGGTTCTGGTTTGTATACAGTGATGCAGGGTGCTTTTCGACAATGGCGGCGCTTACCCCGCGCACTCTAAACTGGTAAAAGTCCACTATATCTGCTCCGATTTGCTTCAAACTTTGCCAGTATACTCTACTTGTCTTCAGATGGTATTACAATATTTGCCCGATTCTCAAAACAAAAAATTACCCTGACATCTCTTTTATAATCTAGCTACACTGAGTAAGTTTCTGCTTTGTTTTTCACAACTTGCAATCTACAGGTGTTGGTACAATCTATGATCTACGCCACTTCAGTATACCAACATTCCCGCCAAACAGGGCTCGCTGGGACTATCACGTGACACATATCAACCTGATGACGGCCATGGCCACTATTGATGAGCACCCAATGTTCAAGACACTCCGAGAGCGCTGGCTCGGATACATGACAGGACGCGCAACGAAACACAACTGATGTGTGGCGGCGGTGGAGTGAAAATTCCAACGGGCGCACGTGTGTGTGTTTTTTATGTGTGTGTGTGTGTGTGTGTGTGCGTGCGCGCGTGTGTGTATGAGTACTGTTGGCGTGTACTTAGCTGTGGCACTCGCAATGTGCCTGAAAGTTATACTGCAAACCGCTCCAGCTTGAGATACAGTCGACCTGTTCCAACTCATGCAAGTAATAGCTACAGAGGAATGAGAGAGAGAGAAAAAGCTGTCTTTTTTTGATTAGCGAAATTCTGTGTTCCTCTGTCTGTTGCCTATTGGGCACTGTAGCCTTGACAACCTTTCTTCATGAGAGTTTTGTTTCTCGCATGCACGATACACAATACAGCATATTTTGTGCGTCCACACATTATTTATATACAGATGTGTACGGCAGTCTGCTATCTGCCATTTCATTGCCAATAGTTGTCGGGATTGTCTCCGGCCACTCGGAGACTTCCGTGCCGTTTTGCGCTCCTTGTCAGCATTCTAGTTCGCTCCCAGCGCTGACAAGAAGTTTAGTGCACACGTTGGCAGAGACGGTCAAAAAGAAACGTGTCCGTCTCTGGCATGCCATCTTTGCTCACTTATGCACGCTACCACGTGTTCAGTGTGTGTAATTTAAATTTGCAGTCTTATTCACCCTCTTCAGAAGCATTTTTATTGCTTTTTTTTCTTCAATCAAAGACATGTTTTTTTTTCCTAAAATAGCCCTATTGTTTCAAGTTCCTAGCCAGTGAGGTTTTGTTGAGCTGTAACCCCCTGATTCTTGACTTTCATGTACTTACTTTGAAACAGAAATCTCACGGTGTTGCTCCGTGCATTGCCTTGTGATGTTGTGTGGTGGCTTTGTGTGAAACTTTCTTCATGGACGTTTGCTTTGCCCGTTTCTCTGCATCTGGATTGCCTTGTAAGTTACTTGTACTTCGAAGTACTTGTACTTGCAGTGTAATAATTGTTCTGTACACTCCGGCTGTAGTTGGTCTTGCAGATGCTTCAGCATGTGAAAAACAATTATTATTATTATTCAATCTTGAAAGCAGGCAGTGCAGTGTGTACATACATTCAAATGCCTCATAGGACCAGTCAAGGATCACAAGTATTATTAGTGGAGGGCGAGAGAAGAGTGATAATACCTAACATGTACATTATACTAACATGTACATGGTATTAGATAAACCTTGTTTTGTTGAAAACATGTTGTTGGTTGACAGAATTTTACAAGGCAGAGGACCACTGTGTTCGCCACCAGTTGTAACCCCGCCCCCAGTAACCAAATCAGTCAGTTTCACTGGTTACATCACCATGCTGTGGGTACTGTGGGTACTAGAGAGAAACGGAGACGGAATGTGGACTGGGCGGATTCATGAACCATTACTAGAGCAGGGCAATGCATGAACAGAAGGGGCAAGTCCGTCGATATTCATGTTTAAAAAATTCCAAGCCTTATTTTATTGGTGAAATACATTTTCAAAAAGGAGGGGATATAGGGATATAGTCAATTTGTCGTCATTTAGAGTATGCATGCTAGGTGTTGGCGGATAATGCCGGCATTATATCGAGCATTATATACAAATGTACCACCCGGAGCATTACGAGCATTATAAAGCATTACGAGGCCAAAAATGGCATTATACGACGTTCTACATGACTGCATAGTAGATCTACACACATCGTCAATTCGTCATGTACAGATTCGTATCGGCTATAGCGTTGGTCTTTGATTGGCAACATTTATTACGCGATGTATTACTACAACTAATTACTTACAAGCGATAGACCACCGACCGTACACATCATGCATGGTACCAAACAGATCGTGGCACGCAGTGCCAGGCGCAGTAGTGCTAGCTATCTGTGGTCCAGCACAGTGTGGAAACTCTCGCAGAAACTTCCGGTCCCGGAAGTCTATCTTCGGCTAGCAACTATTTGAAGATCCAGATAACAACGCCGAACCAACGAAACAAAATTTATGTGAGCCAGCATGGAACGGTGGAGGTGCGCACACGCACACATAATTCCAGACCTTACCCGGTAGACCCAGGTACTCGAAGTCCGTACACTTTTACAGTGTGTGTTTGTCGAGCTGAAACTCACACTAGCAATGATCACTTGCCAGAATCCTGCTCGTGGATGGAAGGTATCTTGTCCAAGTTTGTTCTGAGGCCAGGCTCGATTGAACCAGGCCATCTTTCGATCCGATCTGTTTCTCTGGAGTTCGCTGATTTTTCATATCAAATTTTTGTGTCGCGGAGGGTACTCTAAGTCCGTACTGATCAGAGGTGACTCGAAATACACACATATTTCTGCTAATTGCTAACTTGCAATCCCTCGGTTACGACGAAAGCACCGAAGGGATATGTTTGGCATGTGCCTCCACCAGTATTTCTTGCAAAAGCGTAGTTTGTTGCCGAACTGCAAGCTGTTTTAGTCGGCTCAGAGAAGAAGCAGCTGCGCTGTGAAAACCGCGGGAAAACAGTGGTGGAGATGCCAGGAGTGTCAACCTTTCTGCAAGAATTGGTGGTTCTCTGTAAATTCTTCTCCTCTGGCCATTGTCAGCTCTAAGCTGGCTCTTGATGATTGAGTGAAGGTCTGTTTGACGCTGTGTCCGTTCGAAATCGGTCTTGGCAAAGTTGATTTTTGCATGAAATGTAACCCAATTTGTATTTCGTATGGGCACTCGAAAACCCACTCGCGTGGTATGGGACTTCTGCTTATCGTAGATCCCTGAAAATTGCTACGCGAGGAGAACATACCACACTGTCCCCTCGATAAAATATTTGAGTCGAATACAATAACAGAACATGAAATTATGGGCGTACGAACTTAGGATACCATGTACGGACTTCGAGCACCTGGGTCTACGCGGTTACAGTCCACAATGACTGTATTGTTACAAAAAAACATTCTTCATCGAAGCAAGAGTCCATCTCTTTGTCGAAGAGTAACGCTGGACTTTCACCGGACATTGACCATTGTGTAAGACCAGCTAACTAGCAGCCAACGCTGATGGCTGACTCGCCGCGATGCCGTTCTTGGGATTGGGAGGAAGCTGGGCTTTCTCCAGATGAGCTTTTGGCGGAGTCCTCTGATGATAGTGACGTCGTCGAGTTGGAAACTGCAGATCCTGCCGCGATAGCGAGGAAGCGGTCTTTTCAGAAAACACTTCAAAACAGCTATTACCAAGTCTGAAAATGTTTCCAAAAGGACGCGAGTAGCTCATGGACAGAGCACTGAAGTGGCCATCAGTGCCGAAACACGGGTGCGGGAGTTCCCAGATGAGCCGCTCAAAAGAGACTATGGCAAGTTAGTGTGCCTGGCATGCCATACAACATTGTCAGGGAAGAAGAGTATAATCATGTCCCATATTGCTACCGCAAGACACAAACAAGGAAAGTCCCGTTTGGAGAGGGAAACTCAGAGGCAGAAGCTGGTCAAGGAGTCCTTCTTGGCGTATCCTCTTTGTGCCGCCTCAATATAACTGTATGTGTTTGTACCTAGCGTACATGTTTACCTGATATTGTATTATGTGTTTATCGTAGCATGGGTGCAATATTATAGCGTTTTTCTTAGCCCAATACCGCAAGGTTAAGGTGTTTATATTCCATCCGGCGGAGCATTATCAGCATTATTTGGAGCATTATATGGCCTTTTGTGGAGCATTACTGAGAGCATTATATCCCATATTACCGAGCATTATCCACCAACACCTAATGCATGCCATATGCTGTAAATCGGTAGCGAGCCATTTATCTTCCGGAAGGTGAGGGATCCGGATAAAGGAGGACCGGATAAGCGAGGTCTGACTGTACAACCATCCACGGTTGGCAGAGCCCCGAATGAGGGTCAGAAACAGGGCTAACATCCATACGGTTATTAAAATGGTCGCAAGACCGGGGCTCTGCCAACCGTGGTTGGTTGTACAAGTAGTACGGTCACTGTTTCCGAACACAGACTCAGTGGTCATCCGCCTTATAACACGCTGTCAACCTACAAAAACAAACATGTACAGTCATGTACATGTATGACTGAGTCTGTACATGTACTGGTAATGACTAATGGTATTAGTTGACATCTATCTCCCTGTCTTTGGATAAAATACGGAAGTGTGTGGTCTCCTGCACAAGTAAGATCTACACCACATGCAGTACGGTATACCGGTAGTTGTATCGGTCTCCAATCTACAATACCGGTAATGTATGTTGTCCACGGTGCCGATGACATGTCGACACGGCCGGGTAGCTAGCATTGGACGTAGCCATGGTAACGACGTTGTTGTACCTCTTGTGCCGAAACTAACTACAGACATGTATTACTTTTACCGGTAGTTTTACCTGCGAAAGTGCAACAGGGCTAGGGGCGTTCACACAAGGATCGCCACAGCCACAGGCACAGATACATGTGAAGACACGCATTAACTTCCCCTTTAAAAAGTACTTTGCAGTAGCTTCCGACAGCTGTAGATCTACCCTATAGTATAGCCCCAGCTCCGCCTCAGGCACATCTACTGTCGTAGACCTACTGTCGTACTGATCTAGTCTGTCACTCAGAGAATGATGACTGATGTAGATCTACAAACTGCCCTCCAGTCATGACAGACCCGGTCAGCCCCAGTTTGAACGGCGCTTGCCGATATGCGATGGCTATCGCCCAAAATTCGAAATCATGGAAATGCACAAAGTCAAGGGACATTTTTACTGCTACAGTCAGACTACACAAAACTCAAAAGTAACAGTTGTTGAAAACTGTCAACCGATATCGATAACGATCACCAGTCATCAGAGCGAGCGCGGTTGAGGAGGGAACCAGGCGTAGCTGCTCTAGCTCTGCTCATTCACTCTGTCGAAAAGGAGAAAAAAACGTGTAGTTCCGCGGTTGCAGTTTTTCAGTCGACACGACCTCGGCCGCGGATGAAGGGCACTCTCGCCGTCTCGGCGAATACACCACAGATAATTCGTCAATGTAAGGATTATTCGGGGCAGCTCCTGCAGCTAAGGTTTGGAGTCGCTTGACCAAAAGAGGTTTTACAATTCCATGTTACTACGGTGCATGTGAAATACGCCTTACGTCTCAATGGAGATCTCCAACCGGTGATCCGGACCCACTCGCTGCTGCCGTTCAGCATCGTCGTCGGAGATTGTGAGGAGGTGTTCTGTCGCCGGGCACACAGCAAATTGTAAGGTAGGGCAACTAAAATCTGTGTGGTTGTCACTTTGAAAGGGAGCGAAGTAGCGCCGGGATCGATCAGCACGAATTGGGAGCAGCCAGTAAAACATGCATGATTGAATCAATGATGGCAGGCAGACGGGGGGAAGGGGGGGGGGGCAAAAAGTAAGTTGCAAGCTTTTGAAATCAATTATTTCAGGGATCATAGCTTGCAGTCGGAATTAAGCATTGTGTACTCTACCAGCTAACCACCAGTGGCAGTGGACTGTCCCACCTCTCGCATGGGGAAGCACCATCCACAAGCCCTCCGATAATGGCATTCTATGTGCACTGCACCCCAAGAACAAGTTCGTTATACAATCATGTACCATGGTGATCGCCGGTGGTGATCGCCGTCTGCATGCATCCAGTCATGTGACACATTGAAATGGCTGCTGCCTTCAACCACAGTGTGTAGTGGCTCTCCAGAGATACCATAGCTGGCCTACCAACCAGTCCTGGCACAAAGTGTTCTTTCCGCTTCCCAAAAATGGCGCCAGTCAAGACAAGTTTTCGCTTGGCAATGACGAGGCGAAGGAGCTAGGGTGTTCACACACATTCTTGGATGGGTTTTAGCTTGGGTGCAGAGGAAAGAAGTTTCCATTTAGAGCGAGTATAGCTGTTCGAAATAGTGGTTGCGACTTCGGCGATGATTTGTTTGGAATGTGTTTGCTCCCCACACTGGAGCTCGTGCTATTCCACCGACCTGACCTGACACTTGACTGACTCACGACTGCCATCCAGAGCACACGAGAAGTCCATCGAACCTTCGACTCGGCAAACCTGCAAGAAAGCACCACTCCCTGCTCAATACAAAGTGTTTCGGGGAATTCACCCCTCATCTGATCTGTTGAGCTTGAGTAGGCTGAGGAAGATTGTACCTGAAGAGCACCAGTTGTGCTCTCCGGGCACAAACATCACCACCGGGGATACAAACTTACAGAGACGCTCCGTTTCCAGCGCGACAAACACCTCGTGAACACCAGATAGCAGCGTGAGTCAGTGTCGCTCCTGGACGGTGATCGCAGGTTTGCCGAGTCGAAGGTTCAATGAACTTCTCGTGTCCTCTGGATGGCAGTCGTGAGTCAGTCAAGTGTCAAGTCAAGTCGGCGGAATAGCACGAGCTTCAGTGTGGGGTGCAAACCCATTCCAAAAACATCACCGAAGTCGCAAACACTATTTCGTACTGTTGTGCCCAGCGCGGGCTTGCGACTAGCTGGTTTGGAGGTGACAGCGGTGTGAATGACCGAGGGTCCTCGGCGTCTGTTCTGTCAGCGTTCCTGTCACATGAGTTGAACCTTTGAGTTAAACCTTGGTGTGAAAGTTGTAGCCTGCATGCACGGTGACCAGGCGACTGGTGTACGCATGAGCATGTGACCGCTTACTCACCCGTGTTCAATTGGGAATAAGGTCCGAACGCTGCATCGCAGTCTTTTCGGACTAAAACCAGTCGACTCAGCGTCCAAAAGACTACAACATATGGACCAATCGCGGTCATCCATGCTTTTATAAGAATGAAATGGGGCTTTTAGTGACTTTTTGCATACAAATCCCCATCCAGTAGGGCGCAGTCACCCAGTTTTGGTGCAAGTGCGCGAGTTCGATTGGGAATAAAGGAGGAAGGAAGTGTCTCAGCTTCCTCGAACCAAGACCATTCGACTCAGCACCCTGAAGACTACAACTGGTGAAATTTTGATTTTAGGGTATACTTCCCCAAAAATTAAATACAAAAGACTACACAAAAAGTTTTAGGAAATTAGGGCCACATGCCTCGTACTGCTCTTTTCTCTCCGAAACTCAACACTTGCAAGCCAGATACGAAAGGAAGAAAAAAATCATCAGTCACGCCACCGGGACTCGAAGCAGGGACCTTGCTATTCGCGAGCAATGCTCTAAACAACTGAGGTACAGTATGACTCTTATTCACAGTGATGGCAAATCTATCCTTCTTCGATCAATCAATATCTGGCTTGCATCATACTGGCAAGTCACACCAATCAAGAGGGCCCTCGGCCATTCGCTTGCCATCATGGGGAGTGCATCGAAACTATATCCACTGCGAGCAAACACAAACTGCAATTTTTTTACTTTGAAATTCTCCGTGAAGTCCAAATTTGAAATTACATAAAAAGTTTTTTTTAAATACTTTATTACCCACTTTATCATGACCTTTACTTTTTATACCCTATTCTTCTTTTAGTCGGTATCATGTAATTAGGCAAATTTTCCTGTTTGTTCTTCTACTCTGAATTAAATAAACAAACAACAAAAACAACAACTGTGACTATTGGCAAGGGTCACGTGGAAGAATATTATTAAAAGGCAGTGACACCAAATGTTTTAACCCTCCTTGTTGGCATGGTGCAAATTTGCTTTACGTAGTACTGCTCACAGCTACATGCAGGGTATAAGGAGTTGGGGTGCTGAGTTGAGTGGGGATTGGCTCTAGGCGGTTGCGATGCACCGTTCACCATACCTTGATATTCCCAGTCTAGCTGGCACGTACATCACAATGATGATGTCTCTGTGTGCAACCAGGCGGGGAACTGCACAGAGTGAAAACGAACCAAAGTTGGGGATCATTTGATTGGGAAACAGTGTGCTATAGCCTCCTCTAGCCAAGGCCATTCAGCTCAGTATCAAGAAGATGTATTCCGAGCATTTTTAGCTATGCTATTCATACTAGCTGTCTTCCTGTTCCATAAGACCAGACCCGTGATTCATTCATGGCGGGTTTGATCGGGAATGCATGTACAAGTACTGAGCTGAGAGGCAATGCATTGCAGCCTCCTTGCACTATGGCCATTCAACTCAGCACCCCGAAGCCCATGATTTAGCCACCCACTCATTCTCTCTCTCTCTCTCTCTCTCTCTCTCTCTCTCTCTCTCTCTCTCTCTCTCTCTCTCTCTCTCTCGTTCCGAGGCTCTCTTTCTCTCTCTCTCTCTCTCTCTCTCTCTTTTCTCTCTCTCTCTTCTCTCTCTCTCTCTCTCTCTCTCTCTCTCTCTCTCTCTCTCTTCTCTCTTCCTCTCTCTCTCTCTCTCTCTCTCTCTCTCTCTCTCTCTCTCTCTCTCTCTCTCTCTCTCTCTCTCTCTCTCTCTCTCTCTCTCTCTTTCTCTCTCTCTCTCTCTCTTTTTCTCCATCTGCGCATAAAATCTAGATTGACAACCTGCTTGTTAAATCATGCACCTGCTTTCAGGCGTAAAAACCTGTTGTAGAGGTCTCAGTCCTCATTTGTTAGACTTACCTGTCTTTATAAATGTAACTTACTCTCTCTCTCTCTCTTTTTCCCTCTCTGGTAGGGAAGTACAACTGCAAGTGGTTTCCATGGCTTTAGACATTCCAGTGAATTCTGCCCAAGTCCAATCAAGATCACCCGGGACAGCCATGCTTCTGTTGCTTGTCATCCTTTGTGCCCGTGGTGTCACTGCGAACGAAAGTAAGGCCACCATTTTATTGACTTGTACCGCATCACATGTACACTTCTGCTCTTTAGTCTTGGTTACTGTTGAAGGGAATAATCCTAAATTAAATTAAAAAAATCACGGTCGACTCGGCTGCAGGCCGAGTTCAAGTTGCCACATCCGTAGGGACGCCACCGCCCCCTGTGGATCAAATTCCTAAGTACGGTCAATATTGGGTTTTGGTTGGGATTTGGTTGGATGTTGGAAATGAATTAGGGGAGAGTACAAGTGTCATGGGTTCATTTGAAACCTTACTTTTAGTATGGCCTTCTTTTTTGAGAAGAACATGGATTCACTCAAGTACTTTGGGTGTTTACGCGGTTGCCAATTATACGATAACATCTTGAAATTTAAATTTGGATGGAGAGCCAAGGATTAAAATTAAAAAAGAGAGGACCATAAGTTTACAAGTTCAATCCGTTTTGTCCAACACTAACGATTATAAGCAGGATACTGGTAAGTCAAACTGTCCTGATTATAGTCGTTAGTGTTGGACAAAACGGATAACTTGTAAACTTATGGTCCTCTCTTTTTTAACATCTTGAAAATGGCGCTGTTTCATCGACATTCAGTGCCCAGTAGAAGTGGTGCAGTGTGCGAAAATTAGTGGATTTAAATAAAATTTAATAAGTAACAAAGAAACAATGTGGAAAGAGAAAAAGGACCTGTAAGTTACTAGTTATGACTAACCGTGAGTCCACTAAGGTAACGAGATAATATACAGTCAGATAGTGCGACAACAAGGCACAACACTGACAAGGATGTTGAGACATTCGACGACCTGACACCTAGCTCCAACACATCTACGAAGCGCAAACCAACAAAGAAACAATGTGTTTGCAATGCCCAGTGAATTGCGTTTAAAAGACAGTCATGTTACTTTTGAAAGTTTGGAGGTGTAATTTGCCTATTAGAGATGAAGGACAACAGTGAGAATATGCCTTATGCATGTTGTACAGATACACGGAATCCCGTATAATCTCTGGCATAGAATCCCGTAGACCTGGTTGAGTGTTGAATGCACCGGACCCTATTGTGTCTACTGCTGTTTCCACTGAGAAATGGTCTCTGGACGCATTTCGCACGAAACCTGTTTCGAACAAAGATCTAGCTGGTCATATTCTGTCCAAAGTGATGAAGCTGGAAAAGCGATTGTTTGCCATTGACAGTGCAGCTAAATTGGTCAAATGCGCATGTTTAGCACACACTGAACACCCAACCGGGTATGTTCACACCTACAATCCTAGTACAGAACTTCGTCAGGCCCGGCGGAACCGGTCCGGTTGGTCAGGCCATGGCCGGACCAACTCAAGTTTTTGTCACCAATGTGTGTTTACTGTTGAGGAGGTCATGTGACATTGTGTAAACTGTATACCCTCCGTATGATACACACAATTATGAAAGGCTAGCTTATGGCCGGACCAAATAAAAACTGCTTCCACCGATCCTGTTCGTACATCTCTGCAACGTGCATAAGGACCATTTATGCTGCTGTGAATTTGAAGCAGGTGAGGAAAGACTAAACAAGCAGAGGCCTTGCGTAAGAAAATGATGAAATGTTGCAATTTTCAATGTTCAAACATCTGCAGATCGAAGTGTGTGTGGAAATCGAACATCAGTTTCTATCAGCAAGCGAAGAGCATTTCCTGCGTTCAACACCATATTTCTAATTTGTCTTGTCTCATGTTGCACAGAAACTGACTATGACCAGTTCATGAAGCTGATGAAGTCTCCGGAGGTGTCAGTGCCCATCTATGCTCTGGCCGGCTTTGTTGGTCTGTGCATAGTGGCCGGAGTGACAATTGCCATCATGATGCGGCGAGTGCGATTGCAGCAGGAAGAAGAGAACAGAAAGCCAGCAAAGCAGTATAGTCAGTTCAAGATTGGCCGAAACCAGGCCTCCGAATCCTCATATTCTGAGCTAGTGCCGGGCCAGTCGCCGCCTGCAGACCAAAGCTCGGTGATCTGCTCGCAGGAAGCGTTGAACAACTCCATTCCCGAAGAGGAAGCAGAGCAAGGACAGAGTCTGAAACGAGGTCAGGGCATCGTCTACAGCCAGGATTCTCGCGGCGCAACAGTCGAAGTCTCCAACGTCAGCCAGTTTGGTGAAATGCCCATAGCGTATGACAGCGGAGCTCCATCGGGCGGTCTGTTTGGTATGGGCAGTGCTCGCAACAGGGCACGAGCCATGAGCACAGAAGACAGGGTCTTCATGGGCAGTTCGGCTCCCTCTGCCTACGAGGAAATCAGTGAGACCTCACTGTCGCGATCAGTACCTTTTGATCCAAGACCTCAACTTCCTGTACCACAGCCAGATTCAGCGATCATGGCCCAGCCCAATACCTACGATGAAGTGGAGTTGGATCATTCCCTCAGAGCGGGCGGTGGCAGCGCTATTGTCCCTCCTGCGACAGGGTACCGGCCGCAAGAGGCACCACATTACCCGAGCAAGCGGAAAGTGGCCAGGGATAACAGTGCGGTCAATCTTGACGTGCTCATCGGAGCCCTGGACACCGATAATGCCTATGCTAGTGTGGCGTAATGGCGCCTGTAGACTGTAGATATACCCGGGATTGAAAATTCCGCACCGGCTCATGCACACTTGGCTGCTGAGTTGCAACGCCCACCTCCCCAGTGCAACACCAGTGAGGCCTGTTCGACATCCAGCCTGCGCTTTGTGATCACTAAAATGGCTTGAGCCTACCCGTATTACCGTTGTATGATCAAGGTTGAGGTGATACAGAATGTGTTTTTCTAAGCTCAGTCCTTCATACCTCTCTGCCTCTTCGTAGAATTGGAAGCGGGCACTGAGAAGATTATCGCAAATGAAACAGCTGATGGAGATTGCAGTGACGTTGATATGCTATCCATAGAATACTCCTAGCTTGTCCATAAATACATGCAAACTGTGCCATTCTATTTTAATGATATTGTTTTTTTGAACCTTTTTGCCTTACTTTGAGCCCTTTTTTGACATTCTGTAAAGATGTTGCCTTGATATGCTGCCGTGTTGCACTGTTTCTTTTGTTTTTATTTTTGATAGCAGGACCAGCAGAATATTTGTCTTTCCTGGTCATAAGTTACCACCCTAGGATTGCTGTACATACTAGGTACTTCGAAGTAGCTTTGTGTACGACATGATGGCGGCACACATGACTTCATTCTGTGGTAACCATTGCATCGATGGCTGAAACGTTGTTCTGGCCGGCATGGCCTAACCGACTTCAAGTACTGACCGGACCAGTTTCGCCTGGCCTGTCTTGTTAGGGCGAGCTTGGTCTTGGCCTAGCCAAGGACCGTGCAAGAACTTTATCCATCAAACAACCTTACATCATACTGGCCAACCCTCCCGGTTTTCCCGGGAAAATCCCGGGAAATCAACACTACTCCCGGGGTCCCGGGGATTTCAAGCAAACTCCCGGAAAAGTCACAGTTTCGTTTGATACAGGATTTTCCTGAAAACTCCATGGATTCGCCTCGAATGTCCCGGTTTTTTCCAAAATATGTACGGTGCGCACTCGCACATCGAACTGTGCACGGCACTTTCAAGACCTGACGACAACTGGCACAAGATCTGCACTGACAGGCGCTATGCAGGCGCCGACTGATCGAACTGCGATGCAGGGTCGAACTGTGCCGTACGCAGATCTGCAGAGTTGAACTTTTTTTGGCGGGAAAAGCCCTTTTTCACTTGTTTTTGTGCCATCCAGGGATTTTGAGAAAAATCCAGGGATTCTGCATGTCTTGTCAAGGGATTGAGATTCTGGTGGTTGGTCAGTATGCTTACATGTACAATAATAATAATTATTATTATGATAATATCATCATATATGACTGTAGTATTTGTGTACTTGTGAAGTTGTGTACAACACCGGCATCATACATCGTTGTTATGATGTTTGAGTGACTATTCCGAAGTTTCTTCCCCCCCCCCCCCCGCCTTGGATGAGACGGGGTCATGTAATACGGAGAGATGCAGGTAGTAGGGTGGACATGATGATTCGCCCACATGGCCACATTTACAAAAAGAAAGTGCAGTCACAGACTCAGTGCAACGACATGTCGACAGGCTCAGTGTCTGACATCTACGCTCATCGATCTACCATAATCTACAGACTCAGTATTCTACAATCTACAATCTTTGTTTTGTAGATCTACCACGATCATGCATGACCATGGCATTGGCATTATGAATGACTATGTACATCACTCCTGGCATGGTATCCGGCCTGCTTGTGCAGCGACTGCATGCAGTGCAGACTCGGTAGATCTACAAGATACATCCTGGCCAGGGTCAGGGATCTACATAGTCTAGTAGTAGTAGTAGAAAATTTAGTAGAATACCACTGGCACTGGCACTGACTCTTTCAATGTCTTTGCATAGCCTGATACTGATACAGAGATAGGGGTGGAGGCCGGAACGAAAAAGAAGCTGCATGCCGAGCACAGGCTGTCAGTTCGTTGACATGGTTGTATCGTAATTTGTATTGTTGCAGTTGCCGATTTGGGCATTTTGGTTGGGCAGTTGGCGGTGAGCACCGGTACATTCTGAGTACTATGATGATACCGCTAGCTACAGCATTACTGGCTGAAAGAACTCAAGTAGGGGCGGTAGTCGATTCGTGACAGCAGTGATACCGTTTTCATTTTTGTATTTTTAGAATAACTACTTCGTACATAGTCGCTCACTTCATATCTTCTGGCCCTACACTGTACACAGTTCCGAGAGGGAAGGAGTGTAAGATGAATAATACAACAACAACAACGTCTTGTCAGCCGTTCCCGGCGGAGCCGCACCGATGCGTAAGCTTGAGTAGTTCTGCGGATTAGCGACGATATTGTCGTAGCTATTTTACCATTGAGTTGTAGCTGGTTTTACATTCTCATTAATTTTTAATTTACAATCATGTACTTTCACATCCATGTACATGTACATGTACCGGTATGTATCTACTTGCTGGTTAGTACTGCACTCAGTGAGTGCTCATCCACCCCCACTGCACTGCGTAGATGATGCAGTCATGCATGCGACTATCTGCACTTCATGCAGTGATGTAGCAATCACTATCTGCACTTCATTATTATAATACGGCAATTATTACTTTCACTGATAGGATCAACACTAACACTAAACTTGAGTCAGACTGAGAACAATGTACTGGTGTGGTTAGTCATTGGATGAGTGAAGTGCACTCATGATCACCCAGTGAATGCAGCCCATGCAGGAGTGCATTAGCAGTGTGTCTGCATTTACAACTTAGAGTACAAGTATAATGATTAATGCCCTGATCTTAGACTCCAAACACTGCGGCAGTTTTCCTGTTTGTGATGCAAAACAGCCCACCTACTATGCCATGGGGCAAAAGCGAAACTTTTCACAAAAAAATATCAAATTTTCACCAGTTGTAGTCTTCGGGGTGCTGAGTCGAACGGTCTTTGTCCGAGGAAGCTGAGGCACTCCCTCCTGTATTCCCAATCGAACTCGCCACTTCCACCGAAACTGGGTGACTGCTCCCTACTAGACGGGGATTTGTATGCAAATTTCATTAAAAGCGCCATTTTGTTCCTATAAAAGCAGGGATGACCGCGATGTTGTAGTCTTTTGGATGCTGAGTCGACTGGTTTTGGTCCAAGAAGGCTGCGATGCAGCGTTCAGCCCTTATTCCTATTCGAACATGGTTGAATAGGCGGTCACATGCTCATGCGTACACCAGTCACCTGGTCACTTTGCCTGCAGGCTACAACTCACTTTGAACTTTCACACCAAGGTTCAACTCGAGTGACAGGAATGCGCCCGAATAGGCTGTACGTTGTACCCTATCTCGCTGCAAACAATTCTGTCACATTTTGCCGATATCCATCTCCTTTCACCGACACTATCCGTTGCACCTTGTACCTAGTCGGTGGGTAGCCATTATCTTGCTTGGCAGGCTGGAATGCTGAACGTGTTTTCAGAGAGATAGAGGGTGTGATGTTTGGCGGGTTTTTTACCGCCATTTAACTGGCATAATGTAAAGTTGTACCGGTATGTGGAGTCTTTGCCCATATCTCTAACGTTATCTCATTTACAAAGTTTTGGCTTTATAGCTGAGATCGGCGTAACTTGTAATCGCATATACCACCGCGGCTTCAAAGGTGCAGCCATAAGTATATGGCTGCACCTTTGAAGCCGCGGTGGTATATCCGTAGCGGACATTGAGAAGTCAAGCAATTGCGGGGGGGGGGGGGGGGCACTGGCCTTGCAGCCGCGGCCACTGCTGGTCCATGTTTTTACAGTGTGAATGTGAGCTACAGTGCGTGTACGCGCTAAAAGGAGTAAGGGTGCCTGTCCCGGTCATCCCATCGGATTTCAATGTCCATGACAGTTACTGACTAGGTGTATATGTAGGGAGATTAGCACCATCAGCAGCAGTGCTATTCCACCACTACATATAGGGTACAGCAGGGACCTTCACACTTTTGCTCAAGTGCAAGACAAACATGAGCCAACCGTTGTACCCATTCATATGTTTGAGCGTTTGTAAGAACTTTGCAGAAAGGCACGTTTGACGAGTACTTGCCTTTCATGGGTCGGCTGCTCCGATCAGAGTGTCGACTCGTACTTGTTCCCGCAGTGCGAATTGCCTCTATTATGGATAATTTTCGCAAAAGGAAAAGCATGGGTGTGTGCATGCGTGTGCGTCGGTGTGTGTGTTGATGTGCTACACTTTGCATTGCAGACGGTGATTCTGAACATCCGCCATGCTATGGCATCCATCTCTCTAATTAGCTGGTAAGTTGTAGAAATGTTCATGACAAATCAAGCCTGTCGGTATTGCTTTTTCACCGCAGGGATCTTCTTACTGAAGTTCACAATCACTATTATTGCCGTATTTTCCGGAGTCTAAGCCGCACTGGAGTAAAAGCAGCATCCCCATTTTTTGCCACGAAATACAGATAGATATCTACCCTCTTTATCACCGTTAATCATGCTGATCATCGGAGTATAATCCACACCCCCCCCCCCTTTATTCGGTGAATTTTGAGTGTTCAACGTGCAGCTTATGCTCCGGAAAATACAGTACTCAGTAGTTTGGAGTTAATGCCATGCTTGTTGACGAGGTGAGCATCACTTCTGTGTGGTTCTTCCTGTTGTGTGCAGCATCTTCTGCTTGTTCATTATCTGGGTATTTCGCAAGTATGAAAACTTTGCGCAGGTAAATGTCCATAAACTTTGAAGAAGTGGCCATGGTTTGTGTTTGTTTTAATTGATAAGCAGCGAATTGTGAATACTGCTGGGGTATATGATTGTGCTTCAAAATTATCGATATACGAACCCGTAGGTCAGTGTTGCGTATGGTCCTGGATACACTGCTATCGGCTATGAGTAATAACAGCTAGATTTCATTGGCCTGTTAACTAATCACTCCCTCCGACGGACACACGCAACAAGCCAGAGAGCCAGAGAGTAATGGTTCACATTGTATTTTGGGAGAGCAACAAAACTAAAACTAAAGTCGAGTGCAAAGAAGAATGAAGACCAGGTCCCAAACGAAGGACCAAGTCCAAGGAAAAATATGGCGGAGTATCAAAATGACCAGCATGTGTCACGCACCAGCTCCACACGCGCGACACCACAATCACTGCATGCACTGCGCTGCCTCGATACATGATCCGGCGCCAGGAGAACTAAGCGCTAGCGCGGACAACACTAGCGGAACTAACTGGAAGGAACAACAGTGTTACATGCATCATGACAAGAGAACAAGATATTTCATGAAGGTCGACACGCATACACAGTTAGGTATGATAGTTACAGGTACAGTTCCATTGCAGGCCCTACACTGTATGTAGTAGATTCGGTACTGGCCAAATGACTAGGTAGCTGGGTATATGCAAACCTCGGTGTCTCAGTATCGCTTTTGGCACGGGAAAGTTTGGTGATTCTTGGACCATGCCACACTCTGTTCCTGTGGCGCATTTAACTCAAACGGAGTGACAGCGTTAGTGTCACTCTGCATTTCTATGGTCATAGCTACATCCTAGTTGCCTTGAGCTGTTGATGTGTGTATGGATGTAATGCAGCTGATGCAAAGTCACTGTTTAAGTTACGTGGTCTTTTGCTGCTATGCATGCTTGTTGCTGTGCAGCGTCTCATAGCCTGGCTGACCATTGCCGCTCTCTTCGACAGCATTGCGTATGTCATGGTAAGTGTGAAGCAAGGGTTTGTTGCCTACAGTACATTATAGTGAGCATGTCAGCAAGAGTCGGGCTACCATGGCATGGGGAGCATGTCAGCAAGAGTCGGGCTACCATGGCATGGGGAGCATGTCAGCAAGAGTCGGGCTACCATGGCATGGGGAGCATGTCAGCAAGAGTCGGGCTACCATGGCATGGGGAGCATGTCAGCAAGAGTCGGGCTACCATGGCATGGGGAGCATGTGGTATACAGCAGCATCATGGATAGCGTTATGACAATGTTGATGTACGTACACACCTGCACGCCGACATAGCCAGGGCATAGATGACCCAAGTAGAGAGGCTAGGCGACTGATTTCAGAGTCAGCGGAACTGCTTGTGGGCACTAAGTGCATAGCGTGAGTCGAGGATTCGCTTATGGGCACTATCCCCAAGAATGTGCAACTGCCTGTACAACCTCTATACAGTGCTACGACGGCAGAACTTCACATCATGTGACATGGTTCAGTAGGTTACGCCAAGAGTAGACAAAAAAGAGTGTGCAACTCGCGGATGGGTTGGCTCACGGCGGAATTTTTTGTTGACGTAATCTTTTCGAAGACGCACGCGCTGCGAGTCTTTTGGAAAGTTTTCCCTCGTGCACTTGGCCGGGCTTTACACTACAAGGTCGGTGTCCAGCACGTGCTCTCACACTGCTCTGCGGCAAAATGCACGTCTCTCTGAAAAAGGTGACGTCAACAAAAAAAATTCCGCCGTGGGCGGGGGTATCTGCAGATTGTGCAGGAGAGATCCGGAGTTGCACACTCTTGTTTATCTACTCTTGGTTACGCTGGCAAGCAGTGCAAAGTGACCACAAGGGATTTGAGCCCCAAAGCAGGGTTGCATACAACCCTGTAGTTATCATCCTTCGGGTGCAAATAATGTGTACAGGTTTGTCAATTGATGTAGAGTTCTGCCGTCATCGACCCAGGGCTCCAGCCAGGTGAAAATAGTAGCGGGGGGGGGGGGGGGGGGCAAACAGTTACCCCGTAGTCCATTTTTTACATTATCCAAAGTGTCTTGCCAAGCAAAATGCGACGTACGGGGCAAACCCTCAACTTCATCCCAGACAAGTGTGTCTTTATGAACCTTCTTTTTTCTGAAAATCGACTGCATGTTCGTTGAATAGTATAGAAAACATAAAAATCGACAAATGAGTGCGGGGGGGGGGGGGGGGGGGGGCACTTCTTTCCTTGGCGCTAAGTATGCAGTGGAACAACTTCTGGGCGCAATAAATCGACATTTTTCGCCTGATCATTTCTGTTAAGACAAAGATATTGACTCTCTCTCTCTCTCTCTCTCTCTCTCTCTCTCTCTCTCTCTCTCTCTCTCTCTCTCTCTCTCTCTCTCTCTCTCTCTCTCTCTCTCTCTCTCTCTCTCTCTCTCTCTCTCTCTCTCTCTCTCTCTCTCTCTCTCTCTCTCTCTCTCTCTCTCTCTCTCTCTCTCTCTCTCTCTCTCTCTCTCTCTGTGTGTGTGTCTCTCTTTCTCTCTCTCTCTCTCTCTCTCTCTCTCTCTCTCTCTCTCTCTCTCTCTCTCTCTCTCTCTCTCTCTCTCTCTCTCTCTCTCTCTCTCTCTCTCTCTCTCTCTCTCTCTCTCTCTCTCTCTCTCTCTCCAGGGTGACTTACAGGACAGCGTTACACCATTTTGTCGTGCCCAGGCTTTTTTCCTCTCCTACTTTGGTCAGTGCATTGAGTCAGTGTATCTTTGCTCAAATTCTGACTTAGAAATGCTCTTTTATTGCACCTATTTTAGTGATATGACCTGTCAAAGTTGTTCCCCACACCGGAGCCTATCGCATATTTCTGCCGACTTGATTTGACACTTGACTAACTCAAGAATGTCAGATGTGACTTCTTTACCATAATCTTTTGTGGGGTGTCTGTCACCCCAGGTAACAAATGTTCCGCTCATCAGTACATACGTTGCTGGCAATGAAAGAGCCCTATAATTGGAGATACTATGTCAGTACACGTTCCAGATTTTGCACATGTTCCATGCCAGCGCACTTCCAAGATGAATGTGCCCACACCCAGTCATGGCTTTGTTGTGTGATTTAAAATGAGGCTGAAACAGACGAAGTGGTTGAAAGTCGTAGCTGATCATCGCGTGCATTGTAACCAGGCCTTTACAGGCAGCTCAGTCTGCCTGCGACTGTGTCTGTGATTGCGATGGCTGTCTTCTCCTTGCACCCACAGACTGGGCTTCTCTGTTGTGGGTTTGCTGCATTACCTTCAACCTATACTGGAATGTCATTCACTTCAAAGCGACAAAGAGTTTCGAGATGTAAGTTAGAGAAGAATTTCAGCTTTCTGCGTATATTAAAAAAATGCATGATTCTACGTTCTCCATGTGGAAAGATAAATGTTGCCTGAGCCCTAGTGAGAATGGTTATGATGCATGGAATAGAAGCCACTGTCATGGTCTTGGCTTCTCTTCTGAGGGCTAGGTGCCTTACACCCGGCCTCCAATGAAAGTATTTGTGGAATACATGACATCGTGTAGGTTGCAAGCATCAAACAGTGATGGGTGCACAGTGTTTAGTCTACGGTTGCTGCTTTGGGGTTTTAAAAAGGAAAGAAAGTAACGTGTCGCCAAGAAAACACTTGAATCATTACTCTTGCTTCATAAACCTGAATATGGCTATGAAGCACTAATATTGAGCGATTAAAGTGCATTGAAAGCAGATTAATTTGAGATAATACCTTTTAAAAAACCATCACAAATATATTTCCTATGGAAGTTTGAGTTGTTTTCTGCTTTGTTCAGTCTGAGTTTGGGAAACAAGTGGCACATGCTAAGGGAAACTCAATGCAATGCCGGATTTCAGTTATTACGCCTTCCTTGTCCTTGATACATGCGGCATCGGCTTCTAACCTCATTAACTCAAGTGGTAGACAATGAACACAAATCCCCTGACCCCTGAACTGCGTACATTCATGTCCGTATAGTTGATATTACTCGTCATAAGACAAACAATTTGAAACTCCCGGTGTTATCTACTGGCAAGGGTAGACCTGTACATACATACATGTACACCAAGAATTATCCTGGATATGTCGCTATAGAGCTGTCGGGCGCCGAAGAACGGAGCGCCGAAGAACGACCAGGCTAGAATTTCACCAAGCGCTGCATACCAACGTATACACGGTGACTCAACTGTGCATAGACCGTAATGCATGAAAATAAGAACTATCTAGGCTAGGAGGCTGCTCCGACAGTACTGTAGACTAGTTTTTAAGTGCTCATTTACACCGTAGTGATAGCCTGGGTAGGCGTAGCCTTTGGGAAACCCTTCCGATTAAAAAAAATATAAAAATTCAACTTTCAATACACGACATATACTTGTGTGGTGCGCCTTCATGTCACCGGTTTTCACAGAGTTTATCACATCATCTGTTGGGTAATACCACTGATCGTTGCATCCATACCTTTCGCCAAATCTGACGGATATGGTCCGGCCGGCCTCTGGTGGTAAGTTAGTTAAAACTGCCAGTTTGAGCTATTCTGTAGTTAATATGTGCATTGAGACTCGCTGAGTATATTACGTTCATTGTCGATAATTATGATAGCCATCTCTCGAGGCCAGCTGCCGCCACTGAATACGTCTTCCATCAAATTGCGCTTCATTGAAAGTGCCCAGCTCACAAAGCTAAGCTTCACACAATAGAGAGCTCCCGTGCAGGTTTTAATGGTGTGTACTGATGTGAACAGCGTGTAGCTCATACTTCTTGCCAAATTGCTGACACTTGACTGACTCAAGACTGCCACCCGGAACACAAGAAGAGTTTGCCGAGCCTTCCACTCCGTAAACCTCTTTGGGAACAACCCACATTTTCATTTACAATTAAATGTATTACTGCTGATGTCTCTACTTCTAAATTCGGGTCCTGATGTAGCTGGGCAATGACGCTCTTCTGGGATGGTCTTCACAAGGCTATCTGCAAGTCTTTTCCAATACTGTCCTTCATTGTGTGCACCTGGACTTTGTTACAACTAAGCACCTTGACAAACACAGTCAAGCATTCCCGGACTACATTTCGCCTGAATTTGTAAAACTTTGTCTGTATCTCTCCCTGGTTCCTATTCGTCGCGATGTGTTACTGTTTGCTCGTGTAGCTGGATCACCAACAAGTACACTGTGATGCGCTTTCTGCTGTAAGTTTGGAGATTTGGGGCACGTGGCGCATCTAGCCATTCACATGCATGTATCAATGTAGTGTGATATGCTATATTTGGTGCCCATTCAGTGCAAAACTATTCTATGTAGCACTGTGCACTAGTACACTGAACACAAGACACTAGCATATGATCATGCCTAGAATATATACATTGATCATTATACGGAGTGGACGATACAAGGCGTATTTATTTTGCTTCTTTGTTGGCACGTAGCGTATATCCTCGGTTACGGGTCACACCCGGTTGTAAGTGATACCCCCCCCCCTCCCACGCCCACCGGCACCCACGTTTTCTGTCCTATTGTTTCAATGTCACAGTGTTGCACACGAGTAGTAAGTCTCACTCGATCATAAATCACAACCATTTTTTGACCTTGATTTTTAGCTGACCGTGTGTGTGTGTGTGTGTGTGTGTGTGTGTGTGTGTGTGTGTGTGTGTGTGTGTGTGTGTGTTTCAGTACATACTAGTAGTAAATGTGGATTCCCACCAGGATGATAAATTGTGATAATGTGGTATTGTTGTTCATGTGAAGGTGGTATGTTCCAGTTTGGATCGCTGCGGTCGGCCTGGCCATAGTCTACATCTACATTAGATGGAAGCTGAAGCAACAGGTGAGTTGGGTGTCCTCTTTGGTGTGCTGACTCTCTCAATGATTCACATCTGCGTATCCGAACCCTAAAAGAAAGAAGAAATCCTCTCAGGGTACATTTGACTTGTACTTTTAAGTTAAAACTGGTGGCAAGTACATAAACAGCTATCTGCTGGTCAGCTCACTCTTCAGCACGTACAGGCATGCCGATCCATTTCAAGGGGATATATCAGACTCTGTGGTATGAGTTTAATGGTTTGTGGGTTCTATTTTGTTTTATAGTATCGATTCGACTTCTCACTGCATGGTCAGTTTGCGAGCTGGCGAACTGTGCTGGCAAACTGTGCTGGCGAACTGTGCTGGCGAACTGTGCTGGCGAACTGTGCTGGCGAACTGTGCTGGCGAACTGTGCTGGCGAACTGTGCTGGCGAACTGTGCTGGCGAACTGTGCTGGCGAACTGTGCTGGCGAACTATGCTTGCATTTGCTATTCTTTCACACTTTTTCAGTATAATATTATATCATTAGCTTGTTGCCTTGCACTTTTGCTTTGTGGGCAGGTTGGATCGTGGGAAGGAACTTACACTCCCGAGAATCAGAGAATGAAGGTGCGCCATTGTGATTTTTGTAACGCTCACCGAGTGCTGCATGTAATGGTAGCAAAATCAAGGAGTTGACCGTCTATTCTAGTATGTACTTTTCACAATTATATTGTGTGTGCGGGTACACAATCATTACTGTCTTATTCTTAAAGCTGGCATTCCTATCTACCATGCCATTTGAAACTGTCATGGAAGATAGCGGTACACACATGCACCTTGAACAGCTGGCAACTTCTATTTTACTTCACCAATAATACTCAGGAAAAGGACATACTTCAGGCTCTTTACGAGCATCTTGAAAGTTTTCTGTTTCACAAGTATACTTTCAAGTTTTCTCGTGAGGTGAAATACAGGCAAAGGGAATGGAACAGGAACAGTGGATTAAGTACAGTAAGGAGGTGATAAAACAGCGCAAAGAAGACGATAGCTAAACCAACAACGAAAATGACGAGAAGGCTTGAAAGTCTACTTGTGAAACCGAAAACTTTCAACTTGGATGTTCGTAAAGAGCCTGAAGTGTGTCCTTTTTCCGAGTATTATCGCATTTTTGTCTCAGAGGAAACTGTTTACATCACCAAATTGGCAATTGGAGAGTTGCAGATACTTTATCACAGTGTTTAGCGCCGGTTCTCACGGAAAAATGAAGAACAGTCACATTGTGGTGAAAGTCAAAATTATAATGTCATGTACATAGTACTGTTGAGATACCAAATTCAAATAAATCAATACAATGCAATACAATAATTATAATACTTGGCTTTTCATGGCTTTTCTGGTTCTTCTGTAAAACAGGAACTGTTGAGGGAAGATATCAGCGACTTGAAATACTACCCGCTCGTTTACTTGATCATTTCTCTCTTTCCAACCATTAACAGGTGGGTGATTGTGTGCGTGACTGAGTGTCATGAATGCTAGCATGAGCACGTGTAACGGTTTGTATTGTAGTAATGTTAGTTATGGTGTGCAGCACGCGTACCCATGCCAGTTGTGGGACTGCTTTGCTCCTTCCCGTTTCATGCACGTGTGCCGTGAAACTAGTGCATCTCGCTGTGAATGTCAGACTGTCTGTGCGCTGTGTCATTTTATATTGCTTACTAATCCTTCATGGCTGCTGGTATTATCCCAAGCATGCACAACCGCCTGGAATAACGAAGGTCCCTGGTTTGAACCCTTTTCGTGACAGTCACTTTGTTCTTGAGGCGCTTCTGTTTATGACCCAGGGGACTGATCGACACATGCTGACAAGTTATAGGAATTTAGTTCTACTGCTCCTCTTTCTAGATACCTATGCACAATACACAGTATGCAGCCTTATTGTGGAGCTTCAGCAGGACTGCTTGCTCACTTTGGGCACTTGAAATCTGTTCCTTTACCATGCACTGCAAGCGCTTGTATCCACAGCACCGAGATTTCAGTCGTTCTGGCCAAATGGGCGACTTGCCCGAAGATGAACATTATTGATGAAAACCCCATTTTGCACAAACTTTAATAGTAGGTCAAGCTATTCGGAATACCGTCTGGCCATGGTCAAGCAGGCCAGACCAGGTGCTATGACCCTGACCCGGTATAACCATCTCTAGGTTGAACCGGAGAGTCCTCTCTCCATGCGCATAGATCATACTCTGTTTGCCACCCTTCCCCCGTGTCTTTGCAGGATTCAGAATGCTGTGACGCCTGGCGAGAGCTATGTGTACCCGCTGCTGATACTGCATACCTTGTTTTCTCCATTGCAAGGTACACACGCACAGCAGTAGCATTTAAAATTGGTGCAATATGGCTGCTTGTGTTCCAGGTTTGACGGGAGATTGGATATAAGTAGACCAAAATAAGGCCATGGTAAAAATTATCTTTGATTCTCAAGTATGTGCGCACCGATTTTTGGCGGCGCACCGACGATTTTTAAAAATTTCTATGCATGCATATGCGCACATTGGCGGGCGAAAGTCATGAATCGGGGAGTAGTAAGATACCGGTATTTTTCTACTCCCTGGCCTGAATATATGAACATGTGACCATGTACATACATTTGTATGTGTGACCCTATCTTTGGAAATAAAATTGTGGGAAATAAAATAAAAAATCGCTCGCTCGCACCGATTTTCACAGGCTCACGACCTGAGAATCAACTTTATTTTTTTACCATGGCCTAAGAATTGAATGTTTGTCCTTGACGGTTCCCATATTGTAGTAGTGTGGTCTTGTGGTTATGTGCTTGTGCGGGTGTTGTGTGCCTCATTGCGTGGTGTGGTTGTGTGTCTCATTCCGGTTTTTGTTCAGACAGGTTTCCTCTTGTTGTCTTTAGGACAGTTTGGGGTTTGTAGCTCAGCCTACAGTAGCAGTGTGTGTGTGTGTGTGTGTGCGCGCGTGCGCGCGTGCGTGTGTGTGTGTGTGTGCGCGCGCGCGCGTGTGTGTGTGTGTGTGTCCCATATGGTGCAGTGGTATGTGCAGTCGATTTCCAATCGAGAGGTTGCGGGTTCAATTCCCGACGATTATGGTCGCACACGTCTTTCTTCTCTTTCTCGGACTCTTCCTGACTTTTCTTTCATTCTCCTGGGTGGTTACCAACAGCCAGTGTATGCCGGAGTATGTGGTGTGGTGTGTGTGTAGAAAAAATGGAAAAATGAAAAAATAGGGATTTACTGGCCAGAAAAAGTCACTTCAAACAGCTGTATGGTGGATACCAGGCTAAACATAGTGGCGGTCAATTCATCAGCCTTGCAAGCTGTTGAATGGTGTAATCCCAGCACAAGTTGCTATGTCTAACATAGCTGTTCGCTATCATCGCTTCCGCGATGGGCATGTCTGAGGTCTGAGGCGTGTGCGTGTGTGCACGCGTGCACGTGTGTGTGTGTGTGTGTGTGTGTGTGTGTGTGTGATGTGATGTCTCACTGCTTCTACCTTCACACGCGGCCCCATTAGAATACTCTACATATTGTTTTAGAACTGCTCTGAATGGTTTGTGGCATGACTGTAGCATTGTGTTTGTGATATGCGGTATGAAGGCATGAAGTCGCAAAGATCTTATATTCAAGATGAGCCTGGATGCTTTTTCCAGCTTCATGTTCATTGAGAACATGGTTTGGGCTTGTGGCCAAAACTCAATCCGTGCTACTGTAGGAGTTGCATTTTGATAGAAAGTATATTTTTCGCAGTAAAAGAGTATTTATTTGTAGAGCTTGTGTGGATACAGATTCCTTGGTTCAAACCCCAAGAGGGGCAGTTAGTTACATTTTTCTCTCCTTGCGTAATTTGTATCTGCATGTTATTACCCTTTCCGTGAGTCGCTCGTGAGTCGTGTATGAGTCGTGTATGGCTAAACCCGTAGTTCCCCACTTTACCCGTATGACTGTCTGTTGTGAACTGTGATTGGTTGCTAGTATTAATGTTCCAGAATGTTCCAGAGCTGTGAACTGTGATTGGCTAATTATGCTAATGTTTCTAGAATTTCGTCGGTGACCGGTTTTCGTCGATTGCTTATTGGTTAATGACCTAAAACATGGCTGCCGGTTGCCGGACTTTTGTTCCCTTGCTTTCTTCTTTCTTGTTGCCTTACTATTCTCTTTGCATTCCAAGTGTGTATCACTACCATTCGTTGATTAGTAGCGCACCAGAAAATAGCAGAGTGATTGAGTAGAGGCCTATACAGCTCAAACCATGTTCTCAATGAACATGAATCTGGATCATGTGAAAAGCATCCAGGCTCATCTTGAATAGAAGATGTTTGTGATTTTAAAGTCATTATCATTGGAGATTTGTATATTGCTAATAGCAGCACTGATTTCTTCCCTTTGTCCATTGTTTTTCCAGGATTTTTAAATGCAATCGTCTTCACCTTTGACAAAGACACCAGGAGTCGCCTTGCGTTGCATCAGCTTTGGGTAGGTCAATGTCGCTGAGATGGGTTGGGGCTGTGCAATGCAGTACAAGATGTACTGTTTGAGGGGGTAGTGTAGTGTTCCTGGAATGTAGCACCTTGGCATGTACATAATTATTATTTATTATGTATGCATTTGTGGAGTTACACCAACTTTGGATCTATGTGTGGGACACTGGGATTTGTAGTTTACCAGGAGAGTGGGCATGGTTCACTACGATCAGTAAAGCACAGCGATCTCATTTTACCCATGCACCGTACGACGGTGAATTGGGCAGTGTGTTTCTGCTCCTAGTGGGAGCTTGCAGAGCTGCAGTATGCGTATGTAGCCGGGGATGCTTTATCCGTACTTTGCCTCAAACATATGCTGGCCACTGCTCAGAGTCCTGAGAGGCTTACGAAGAGTGTCCTCGTTGTAACTTTAGCTGTGGAGTACTTTTTGAGGCACTTTTCTGCGTTCATAATGTACATTATAATCGTGTCTTTATGCTGTGTAGGCTGCGCTTCGCAGTCGATTCAGTGAGCGTCACTCCGTCAAGCCGTACAGTGTTGGAAGTTCGGCGCCACCAGCGAATGAGCGATCACTTCTGCATGAGAGTGCGGCATCATCGGTTTCCCCGGTGTCCAGTGGAGATGATACTGGCACTTGAAAACCGCCCCAAAGTCATCACGTGTACAGCATGTCTCCTCCTTATGCTGTTACGGGCTGTCAAGGAGCCCACACTGAGACCGTCCCGGAATCTTGGTGTCTTAGTTTCAGGCTCACAGAGTCATTGTACAACAACTATTGTTGCAGTCCATCATACACATCCATGGGGCTAGAGACACCACCGCCAGTCATCATTGTTCTTGCTGTGTTCAATGTCTGCACAGCAGCATCCCATTCAGTGTCCATGGACATGCACAACACAATGCCGTCATGCTCTTAGCTATCTAGTATGCATGCTGGTGAATGCATGTCGTCATGCTCTTAGCTATCTAGTTTGGATGCTGGTGAATGCAGCATTGTTCAGCCGGTTTTTTCCCGTTTTCAGATACCGATACCGACAGAGTCTAGCAGTGAAGTAGTTGATACTTGAATTCGTTTCTATGTTCATTTCAGGCATCCTCCAAATATTTGTCTTGACGTGTTGTCATTATTTTATGGTTTTGAAAAAAGGGCATAGGTGGCCTTCTGTCTGTTTATTATTTTTATACGGATGACGTACTAGCGGAGAATATGTTCACTGTGTGACTGTAGAGAAAGATTTGGAGTTGTTGTTGTTGTTGTTGTTGTTGTTGCGGTTTTTGTTTGAAATATTTCAAACACATGATAGTCTGTGGCCAATAAGAGAAAATGTACAAACGGAAAGTATGTTCACTGTGCGACTGCAAAGAAAGGTTTGGCGTTGTTGTCGTTATTGCTGCTTCTGCTATTGCTGCTGTTGTTTTTGCTGTTTGTTGTTGTTGTTGTTGTTGTTGTTGTTGTTGTTGTTGTTGTTGTTGTTGTTGTTGTTGTTGTTGTTGTTGTTGTTGTTGTTGTTGTTGTTGTTGTTGTTGTTGTTGTTGTTGTTGTTGTTGTTGTTGTTGTTGTTGTTGTTATGTGTGTGTGTGTGTGTGTGTGTGTGTGTGTGTGTGTGTGTGTGTGTGTGGAAGAGGGACGGGGGGAGGGAGGGGGGGGGGGGATAGTGTCGACTATTGAGCACTGTGTGAGCAGTGCAAGGACTAGTGAAGGTGCATGATCGTCTACTGAGTCTGTGCATTCAGATACATGTATGGTGCATGCACCCATGAAATGTTATGCAGTACGAGCAGTGGAAGAGCCTGGGAGAGGATTAGCAATGGCAGTGATGACTTGCAGGCAGAAAATAGTGCTCTTTCAGTCTTTGATCAGCATTATTTTTGTTTTAGCTCCTGCGCCATGTCACGTGTGTTGTACAGTGGCTTAGCCAAGACTAGGAGGCAAAATCATCAGCTGGTATGATCTGCAAGCAGTGACCGATCACTGTGTACACCTGCACTGTACTAGATTTACATGGTTATGATCTACAGTCAACTTCGCTAATAACGACTGTGGATATAACGACAATTCGCGAATAACGACAGAATTTCCATGCCCAGAGCAAAGTCCCATCCCACTGTGATACATAATAATGAGACTTCGGGTATAACGACACTTCGCGAATAAGGACACCTTTTTGATGCCCCGCCGAGTGTCGTTATAAGCGAAGTTGACTGTACTCAGTAGTGTTACAGTATTACTGTAGAAGCCATTATTCTAACGAGGCGCATATTTATTACGATTTCCTAAAATTGACCAGTTTACGTGTGCCAAAGGTAACGATTCTCACTCATCCTCAACGCTCAATACTAAAATAACAACAATATGTATCGATTTCTATCTAACGTTTTCTATTTTAACGACAGATTTCTCCTCGTTAATTCATTAGGATCGGCACTTCGTTATTATTATATTATGGCTTTTACAGTGTAGTACACTATAATTACAGGCTAGGATTTTATAGTATTAAGTACAAAGAAGAGGTTCCCACAATTCCTCAGACTTATACAGTTAGTAGTACATGATTCTAGTCTTTTACTAATACTAGTAGTATACTAGTATATCTACCGGTTTACCAGCCTCTTTTACGGGCAAAAACTAACACAATGGATTAAAAATGCAATACAAAACTGGAGAAGAAATCAGGAAAATGCATGTGTAAAATAAAGATTTTCAAACGAAAACCAAAAAACTTCAAATCAAAAACTTTATAAAATTAAAGAAGACTAATTTCACTGCATGTAAGCATGTCCTAAATGTTGACATGTACATGTATGTACTATGAGTAAAATGTGAAACGATGATCGCAAGGCACACAACGAAAGGGAAAGAGAGGATTTGTTCAGAACTGTTTTCTTGTTACATTCATCAGTGAATTTATGTAACGATGGAATGGAGCGGGTACTACTTGAAACAAAATTAATATTATATGGACAATTATTGGCCTCATTTCCTCTGTACTGCGCTGACGAGTTCACAAAGAACGAAACAGCATGCTGTCCGCAGATTGAGTATGGACAATTATTATATATTATAATATTTGTCAAATAAAAGTGAAAGAAGGGGAAAAAGAGCAAAACAAAACTGAGCTCATTATACTACATGGATTCAGCGGGGGACGATAAGAACATGCATGCGTGAATCATCAGCATCAGCAAAGCAAATCAAAACCTGAACAGACGGGAGGAAAGTGTGAACGGAGGGGGGGGAGGGGGACAATTACGCTCACCACACTCGCACCATACTACTACGTAAACAATTAAATTTTGATAACCCATTCCATTGTTATGTTTGATTCACTGATGAATGTAACAAGAAAACTGCACAACAAATCTTCTCTTTCCCTTTCGTTGTGTGCCTTGCGATCATCGTTTCACATTTTACTCATACATCAATCTAGTAACTCAATTCTAAGGAGAAAACAAAACAAAAAGCATTGTACGAAATAGTGGTTGTAACTTCGGCGATGATTTGTAAGAAAAGGTTTGCTCCCCACACTGGAGCTGGGTAACACTGGAGTCAAGTCGGCGGAATAGCGAAAAGCATTGTATGAACCCTAAGTGGCTAGATCTACCGGTACGCACGGTGCATGTTCTTTTGCAGATCACATTTCAACAGGAAGAGAGGAAGAAATTATTCTTGTTAGTCTTGTGATAGTACGAAATAGTGGTTGCGACTTCGGCAATGATTTGTAAGAAAGATACAAATCATCCCCGAAGTCGCAACCACTATTTCGTACTGTTGTGCCCAGCGTGGGCTTGCGACTAGCTGGTTTGGAGGTGACAGCGTTGTGAATGACCGAGTGTCCTCGACATCTCAGGTCTGTTCTCACCGTCCACGAGCGACACTGACTCACGCTGCTATCTGGTGTTTACGAGGTGTTTGTCGCGCTGGAAACGGAGCGTCTCTGTAAGTTTGTATCTCTGGTGATGTTTGTGCCTGGAAAGAAATATAAGTGGTGCTCTTCAGGCACAATCTTCTTCAGCCTACTCAAGCTTTGAAAACTGATGAGGGGTGAATTCCCCGAAACACTGTGTGTTAAAGGGAGTGGTGCTTTCTTGCAGGTTTGCCGAGTCGAAGGTTCGATGGACTTCTCGTGTTTCTCTGGATGGCAGTCGTGAGTCAGTCAAGTGTCAAGTCAAGTCGGCGGAATAGCGCGAGTTCCGGTGTGGGTAGCGAACCCTTTCTCAGTCTTGTGACCCTAGTGGATCATTTTGCCTGTACAAGACAAGAGGCTTCATTTTAATACTAATACTAAAAAAGATCACCTGTGACCTGAGCCCAGGGAACACATGTGCAACTGCAAGTAAAAGTGCAGGACGTCAACATCTACACTGGCGGATGGCTGCACTGGAACAATACATACCTACAAAGAAGTGGCTATTGACATTGGCAGTGCAGCGCAAAGAACAAGTAACTTAGTTACCTCCCGGCAATGTCCGTGATGGCGTCATAGGCAACACTTGTGACTTGGCACTCTGGCTCTGCCATCCCGAGCCAGATGTGACCAAACCTTCCGAGCTGAGTTTTGGCTATCCCTCCACTACGGCACTTGTAGGCAGACGATCGCCAAAGTGTCTGTATCTGGCAAGCAACTGTTACCGACCATGCCACCGAGAGTATCGTGTATACTCAGATAGCGGACTGCAGACTGCAGTCTCATTTGCTCACACCACCAACGCCATCGCGCGCGCGGGTCATTGGGGTAACAATGAAAATATTATCAGATTTTGTGAGAGTGGAAGAGGCTGATCTGAGCTAGCCATGACTTATGACTTATGAGCATGATGATTGATGAGCGCGAGCATGAGCTGAGCTGAAGAGACGCATATGCGCGGCATAGCTGCATAGATTCTCTTGCGGGCTAGACGACACTGTGACAGTGACACATTTGTTTCAGCCCACTGAATAAATTTTATCTTTGCGGAAGGCTGAAGCGTTTTGCCCTGTCGGATCGTTGTTGCTCGTTGTTTACGGAAGGCCCGGTTCCAGAGTATTTCCGGAATCCTGCGGAGGAAGTAAGGGTGTAGATCTGACAGGTACGTATGTCGTTGTGTCCAGCTAGCGGAAAGGTGTTACAGCGCAATGTCATGTGCATGCCGGGGCATTCCATAGCGTATACGGTATAGCTAGCGAGTAGCGTTTCTAGTCCCACAAATGAACTCTGCATGCACCGGTGACCGACGGCGGCAACGCTATGCCTATGGAGTATGGTCACTCCTTGCCCGTCAGCCTTTAGTTTAGACTTTAGCCTCGAGTCGAGAGCGGTAACTGGTAGAGTGTCGGTTCTCTCGGGTCATTGCGCTGCTGGAATTTACGTGACCAAGTATTAATTCTTCAACGTGTCACAGGAGTGGACCCGATCACATCATGATAATCACGTTTTCGACTGGCTTTATAACGGGCTTGTCATGAGAATCCCGAGCCTGGTAGCAGTGTAGTTAGTGTATTGAGAGAAGGACCTTGAACAGTTGAAGACACTACGATCACACTCATTTCCATTCCTTATAAATACATTATGTAGTATGTACACGTGGCTGTGCCTGTGTCTTCAAATCTACTTCCGGGCATACCAGCAATGCCATAAGAATCCTGACATAAGCCCGTTGTTAGTATGTACGCCTGTGTTCTTGGATACACCTGAAAACAATGCTTGAGAATCCACAAAACGTGGAAAGAACTGGTCCTAGGCTATTGAGTGTGAACTGCGATAATGATGTGTGTAGATAGGCGTAACAAGGCTTGAAATCAGGGTTGGCAGTAGGGATACTTCCGCCAGTAAATGCGGCAGTTGTGCAGTTGTAAAAAATCTAAGAAGAAGACCTGAGTTTGAGACATGCCGCCAATTTACCAAGCCTCAAACTCACACCACATGTGGCTGCGGGGATGCTGATATGGACGATCATTGTGTCGAGCGCCATGCATCACAAGATTTAAGGAGTTGCCTGATGCCACCACACATGGCTTGCTAGGCAAAAAATAATAAAAATACATCTCTAGATTCTGGCCACTCTTGACAACTGGAACTCCGTCGGTGTCCTGAGTAGCTTTATAATGGTGGATGGTAGGTCCTTGGATATTATGGACAGTGAGACGCCCCCCCCCCCCCACCCGTGCCGCATGATGGTATGACTTCTCTACTTCGAAGTACCTTCAGCAGCAGCAGCAGCTGCCGCCTCCCCCTGACCCAATCTAATCACATCAGCAGGTGTATTGCTCTATCTTGAAACCTTCGATTGTGTACCACAGATCCATGTAAACCGTAAGGATTAGGATCCGAAATCAAGCATTACCGTGCCTGGTGTGACAGAGCACGCTCCAGCCCCGTTTAATGTATAATTCACGTTGTGTCTACTGGCATGGCTGCCCTCGTCATAACACTGGTGTACACTCCGCAAGCCCATGTTTTTGTTTTGTTTTAAATACGCCCGTATTCTTTGTATCAGTCCACTGAATATGATTATGATATTATTATTATTTTGCTTGTTCGCGTTGGCATCAACCTGCATAAAGCAGGTATATAGCCTTCGCTTAAGCTGCCATAAAAAAGAAAGCTCATCCTAAGCGAGAGGGCTAGAGGGAAATATAACGATAACGAGATACAGAATACAAAGAAATCCAATGAGTTCAACGTACAATTCAAAACAAGAAAGAAAGGAAAGAAAAACAGAGCCGAATCTACCGATTGATCCATCAATCAACAAAGGGGACTAATCCGTTAGTGTTGCAAAGTAGAAGCTGATTATAGTTGCAGATCTCCAGGCCAGGGCCAGCATATTGCCGATTCTGGATAGGTCTCCGCAGCATTTGATGTGGTAATTATCATAATGTTTGATAAAATTGTTAGAGTATCTAGTATCTAGAGTACCGAGTATCTAGTATCTAGAGTACCGAGCATCTAGTATCTAGAGTATCTAGTGTAATTGTATCCGTTATTATTGTTAAGGGTATCTAGTGTAATTGTATCCGTTATTATTGTTAAGGGTATCTAGTGTAATTGTATAACTTCAGCCATTACACACAGCACACATTAGTTCCTTCCACTTTCGACGATCCTGGGCGAGCTGCCTCAGTGCAACTAGATCCTCGTGTGATGTGAGGGAGTTTGTGGATCTGGAATTTTTCAGGTCGTTGTTGATGGATCGCGGGAGTGTTGTTCTCGGGCGGCCTCGGAACCCTGAGCTTCCTGGCTGAAAGTATGCTGACATAGCCTGCTGGACCGGGGATGAGGTGTCTAGTCGAAGCATGTGGCCAAACATTCTCCACCTAGCAGACTGGATGATTCTGCTGAGTGGCTTGGAGCCAGTGCGCTTGTACAGTGCTTCATTGCGTATTATACGGGGATATTTGACCCCTATGACTGCTCGTAACTGCTGGCGGTGGAACGAGTCAAGTTTCTTTTCTTGAGTCTCTGTCAGGCTCCATGTGCCGCAGTTATAAAGAAGTATTGGGAGAATAAAGCTGCCGTATAACCTAATCCGAAGGGGTTCACGGGCATGGTTACCTCTTAGCCATATCACCCACAGCTGATGTAAGGCGCATGTTGCTAGACGTTTTCTCCGACTGATATCTTCCTCCACTCCAAGCATCGATCCTAGTTTGACCGTGTTCCGCCATCGCTCGTCTACTCTGTCCTTTTCTCTTTTAATTGTAGTATATTCGGTTTTGGCTTCATTCATTTTTAAATTGTATTCCGCTAACGAGGATGATAGTATGGGTTGATTGTCATGCAAATATTGCAGGCTGGTGCTGATGAAGTCTACGTCATCCGCATACGCTGTTTCATTGGGCAATTGAAGCTGAATATCCAATGCTGGTCGCGGTGAGAGTCGCTCTCGAATCAACCTCAATGCAGCCTCGAGGTAGACAGTAAACAGGACTGGCGATAGAGAATCACCTTGTGGGGTTCCATTATGTGTGACTAATGGTTGGCTGAGAATGTTATTCAGCTTTACTTTTATTGTGGTGTCTGTCAGAAGGCACTGGATGATGTGCAGCTCATCATGATCAATGACTGATGACAGTATATCGACCAGCCTGACCCTCGATATAGTGTCAAATGCCTTTGACATATCAATGCCTAAGATTGAGATCTCCGACGCAACCCGTTGGCATCTTGCTGATAACCACCGATAGCTATATACCACGTCTCCAGTACTTCTCCCTGACCGGAACCCGCTCTGGTTCAGTGACAAGTACCCATTGATAGCTGGCTTAATCCGCGTCAGGATGACCAATGAAAGAAGTTTACGTAGGGTGTTCAACAGGGTAACTGGCCTTACATTTCCAGGAGGACCTCTTTTCTTTCCCGGCTTTGGTATCGGGATCAGTAGCCCATCGCCTAGCTTGAGTGATTTGTCTTTGGCATAATTGTTGAATGTAGTGGCAATGTTCGAGAACAGTGCTGGTGTTCCATATTTGATAAGTTCAGCAGGTATCCCATCTGGTCCCGAAGCTCGGCCATTATTCAAGCGCTTAGCTGCGGCATGTACCTCTGGCTGCTTTATAGAGTTTTTAAGGTCTTCCTCTGTCCGTAAGAGCCTAGATGACTCCAGAGCAGGATCACAGAATATAGCACGGAAGTGTTGCCTTAATGCTTCGACTGATTCACTAGGTTGTGCAATGAGTTTGCCATCAGAGTCTTCAACCACAACTGGTGACTGCTGCTGTCGGCGCAGTAGTCGTGTTGCTTTGAACATTTTCGCGTCGTCTTTCATTTGGTCTATTTCAGCTACACGTTCGTCCAGTCGAGTCGATGCTAACTTGAGGCATTCCCGGCGAATTCGGTGTGCCAGCCTGTTGCGTCGCGTCTTCATTTCTTTTACCTTCGTTCCATCTCTGCACACCGTAATGTCGAGACGCAGTTTGCGTTTCTCTGCTGCTAGCTTTTCAATTTCCCCGCCGAAGCCATTTCTATGCGTCTTGTTTGTTTTAGGGACGGGGCCCACCGATGTGTTTGCTGCCTCACTCATAGCGTTCACAATATACTGCAGATGTTGCTCCGCATTGACACCTTCCTGCTCTCTGCCGAGGTCCTGTAGATGTTCGTTGATAGCCTCTCTGTACTTTGCTTTCTTGGTCGGGTCACTAAATTCCGATATATTGAATTTTGCGTTGCTGGATATGGCTACTGGCGGATATGCTGCTCATTAATTTTATCATCCGGGCACACACGGAACTCTTTCGCATACATGTATGGTGGGATGCACTCTGGAGAACTAAGCGACTGGATACTACCATTAGTAACCAAGGTACACTGTACATATTAAAACACACCTGTTAACAATGGTCCATCATCATCTAACACTAACAGCATTATGAACACGCCCGTTCTCTGCTCATTGTTGTGGACTTTGCTCAGCAGCATGGCTACGAATGGCTGCACACACGACAGTTTGTCTCTCTCAACCAACAAAGTGAACGCCTGGACGGAATGGGGCAAGCTGAACGAGATCTGCGTCGGCCGCGCGGATGGTGCCTGCTATCCAGAGTTTGAGCCAACATGGCAGACTCAGTTCCGGTCTAACCCGGAGCTGCGCGACGTCATCCCATTTCCGTTGGGACCCAGGCTCAAGGTAAGAGAGCCTGCCGGAATACACAGATATAACACCTGCCTGACATAGCGCTCTATGTGTCGGTAATTCTACTTGGTAATCCAGATTTTTTTAAAGCCCAGCCTCTAGTTTGTGTTTGAGGTATTATGTATGATAGTTTATGAATATGATAAGTTAGGGTGCGTTTGGCTGGTACGATCTAGAACAAGATCGAACAGCTGGTGCACATGGAGCAGCCTCATGCCAACCAAACGGTGCTCCAGAAACAGAGCACATTTTTGTGAAAAATGTGCCAAACTTGGTGCATTCTTCAAAATGTGTATGGGTCACCATGGTCACTTTGTACGGTACGACGAGTCCAACCCAAAAGCGTATGCACGTGATCATTTGGGACCAAAATCGATGTTCCCGCCAGGTTTCACTGTGAAAAAGTGAAACTGCTCGGTCTGCTCCGGCCTCGAGGCCGGAGCAAGCAGAACATGTTCTGGCCGACCCAGAACAGGTGCAGTCCCAACCAAACGCGCTGTTCTGGTGAATCCTGTTCTAGTTCGTACCAACCAAACGCGCCCTTAGACTCGGATGGAGAGCCAAGGATAAATTTTACAAGTGTGAATAATGGAAGCATTCAGCCACTCCCGTACTGATAGTTCGTATATTTTTGGTTCATGAAGTTGTATAACACCCGCTAGGATTGTGTAACCTAAAACCTAATCTGCTTCAGTACAATCATGCAGTACGCATTGCATCGTATGCAGTGCAAGACTCGGAGTGGTAAATTGACAGGTCTCTGTGTGATATGATGTGTGATTCCTAATCCTGACTATAGTCGGTGATCAAGAGAGCCAATGTGCAGCTTGACGCCATGGCAGATATGCTGGAAGGTGAAGGCATTGTTGTACACCGCACTTTGCCCATGGACTTCAGTGTACCTGTCAAAACTCCTGGTAAGAATGGGTAATACCTACTTAAGTACCCGTAGGTGCCTATACGTATAGTCGAAAGCTCAATTGCTGGGTCTGCTGGACGTCGCTGACTACTCACTCCCCTTGAAAGTATGTATTCTATAACTTCTTGATGGTGTGTGTGTCTCTCTCTCTCTCTCTCTCTCTCTCTCTCTCTCTCTCTCTCTCTCTCTCTCTCTCTCTCTCTCTCTCTCTCTCTCAGATTTTGAGAGTCCATACGGTTTCTGCAACACATGCCCACGGGACACCATCATCACCCTTGGGAATGTGGTTCTTGAGGCCACCATGTCACGGCGCTCTCGATACTTCGAGTACCTGGGCACACGCCACATTGTCCAACATCTCTTCAACAACGACAAGAAGATGCTGTGGAAGGCAGCTCCCAAGCCAAGCATGGCGGATTCCATGTACGACACCAGCTTCTGGAATGAGCGAGACGCTCGCAAGAAGGAACGAATGGAGAAAAGTGAGTTCCACAGCTGTCTACCATCGCTGAGACCCCTCTCCCCTTGCCTTCCGTAAAATACTAAAAATAGGCTCGGCTTAAGTTTAATAGAAGTTTTGTTCGATGGTAATTTGGTCCTACCTCAACTTATGACACTGTGAGAAGCTTACAAATACATCATGGAAATACATTATTAGCAATGCCGCTTAGGAGCTGCATCTGCGCCTTGATCCAAGAGGGTGGTGGCGTTCCTGCGGATGCGTAAAACTGGGCCTTTGGCCGAGTCTCACGCGAACCGTGAATTTTTTATTTTTTTATTTAATGCAGGGTACTAGTACCACTATGCTACCCATTTGTGTTACTGGTGCCATCGGTGTTGCGGATGTTGCTGCCGCTTGCTGATGTCATCACAGCATTTTTTCTTCTTGTGCAGGCATCTTCCGCTATCCGCTGAATGACAAGGAGCCTGCGTTTGACGCGGCCGACATGACACGCATGGGTGCTGACGTCATCATTCAGCACAGTGCAGTGACAAATAAACCAGGTGAGTACTGTGTGGCACGATTGGCCACCTGAAGTGCAATTTACTCGTGGGTTTGGGGTGGCTCCTAGGATTTTTTCGAAATTTACACCCCAGATGATGATCAGTGCTCTTTATTGATTCACAGGGTACCCGGAATGATTGCAGTCCCAGCCTACTGTCAGGCTGCCTGACCTCTGACCAATGGCGGGCGTACTTCCTTGAAGCACGCATACAAACCTAATTTCCTGATAATAATTATGTGTTATGACCAATAATACTGTAGGTCTCGAGTGGCTACGACGTGAACTCGATGGTCACGTCAACTTCAGAACCATCCATTCATCAATGGTGAGTAATCCCATGCTTTTCAGGTTGGCACTGTTAGCCGTGAGTGAATGAATTTTGTATGGGAGGGCATGTGTTTACCGTCATGTTGCCAGGTGTGTCTTTACCATACTATCCATGCATGGTAGTTGTCCATACCATCGACCATGATCACTTTGATCTGAGTGGTGGCGTTCCTACGGATGCGGAAAACTCGGCCTCTATATAGAGAAACCGAGTCTCACGCGAACCGTGAAATTTTTTTATTTTTTTATTCCGAGTTCTTGTGAAATTACTCGTCAGGTCACTGGAGGTAGTCACACCAGGGGTGACATTCTATTCCTACCAGCAATGGGTACAGGGTTGGACACAACTACTGATGTGCGGCAAAGAAGTAGGGCTCCTCGAAAAATGCATTGTTTCCCTCCACGTACATGTGCCATATCTTGCTAGTTATAATTATGTCGACCAGGCATACTCAGGGCCTCAATCTCCCTGTTCAAGGGCAGTTAGACTCCGGTTGTAAGCCGAACACCCCTTTTTTAGTTCGGTTCTTAGGTCATGAAAGGTTGGCTTATAACCAGTAAAGTACGGGGCATCATGAAGTGTTTCTTTTGAATCTCATCTGTCTGTCTTCAATTTTCACAGCGGTTTGATTCAAGAACTTATATTGCGGGGAATAAACTTGGATTTGTTTGATACGGTACACCATGAAGAGTCTCTTTTGGATTTAATCTTCCTGTCTTCGATTTGTATGTGTTGACTCAATGACTCATATCATGAAGAAATATCTAAAGAATTATCTAGGTAAAGTGTAGCGCCCTGCATTAATCCTACCACAATATAATCATATTTGCTGTGCTTACTTGACTATACAGGAGGACACTCCCATACATATTGACTGTACGCTGGTGCCTATTCGTCCGCCGACGGCCGGATCTCGGGGCATCATGATGGGCTGTCCATCACCACAACGTGTACTGGTGGATGCCGAGATGGAGCAGTTCAGACAGAGCGGCTTTGACATTCTGATGGCGCCAGAACCGACTATGGGCAATGACACTCTGCCAGTGATGTGCGAGTGGGGGAAATGGCTCAGCATGAACCTACTCCAGGTGAGTGATGGAAATCTGAGGTGTCAGGGAGTCTAGATGTTATTTCACGCACATAAATCCAGTGCATGTTTCTGGAGATGGAACCAATGTTGATCAGCAAAAGATGTATTGGCATTGGTCGGGATACATCCATGACATGAATGCTGGTTATTGGAATGTTTGTGTTGGACTGTGCTCCATTCTTTGTATGTAGATCTCACCGAACAAGGTGATCATTGAGGAGAGTGAGATATCGCTGGCGAAATGGTTCGAGGACCTAGGTATGGAAGTGTTGAAGATCCCGTACCGCGATGTGTTTGAGTTTGGTGGCTCCATCCACTGCTCTACCTGGGACATCAACCGAGATGACGAGAAGAAGAGCTACATGAAGTGCGACAACTTTGAGCTGCCCGAGCACACTAATGGATACCCTGGCTACGTTTCATGATCAGAATCTGAGGCACGTTCACAACTTCTCGGTGATTTCCCAGTAAGCCACCACTCTTCTAACGTTATTAATGTCACTAGGATCCAGTTTTCACAGCATTTCTACACTTTCAAAACGTGCGGATGTTTGCAATAGCAAGCCTATGGCTTGTGGCTATTTGCTCCCATTTGCGGCAATAGTCGCAAGCTCTTTTTTTCTCTTTCTTTCCTAGACCAATTGTGGTTCATTTGTAGGCACACATACATTTCAACTGTGCTGCATGTTTGCTGTGCCCTAGCAGGCTGTGTATTTTCAATGATTTCACCTAATTTCAAATTTACAATCAAATCAACTGCTGAATATTTGATTTCAAATCAGTAAAAAAAATTAAAACACACACACAACAGAGGCGAAAGGCTGTGTAGTTGTTGCTTCTTTTAAAAAAGTTTCGCGCATTTCAGCGATCATCAGACGGCAGCATTTGCCCCCCCCCCCCAAAATCATATGTTTTGGTTGTGTTACTGATTCATCCGTTTCTAGCGCTCTGCATTGCTTTCGCTCTGCGAACACATTGCTTTCGCTCACAACCTTTGCTGTAATCATTCTCTACCCGCCTTTCACCAGGCTTGCTAACCTACAAAATCCCAAACGTGCAGTCCTGGTCAGAGAAATTCGACTTCATGAATAAAGTTACGGTGGACGCTACATGGCACTACATGGCACTACTATCTATATTCATGAGGTCGAATTTCTCTTGCCAGAACTTTAGTATGATTTTTTGCACTACAGAAAAGTGTTCTTGTTAGTGTTAGTGTTTGCTGTTGCATCTCTTAGGTGAGTCATTGCTGACACTGTCATTGCTGCTGCTTTTTCTTCACACCCTGGGCAAGACAGTCACACTGGTTGACAGTGACTTCTGGTGTCACTGTGTATGTGTGAGTGTGTGCGTGTGTGCGCGTGTGTGTGCGTGTGTGTGTGAGTGTGTATGTGTGTATCCCACTTTGATTTAGCCATCAACACTAGTAGCAAGTATTACCACCACTGGGGGCAGGGGTAACTGCAGTTGGATCCCCCCGGGACGGATACCCTGACACCGTCAATCCTTTTTCTGCACCTTGTCCTCACCCACTTACTGAGGTGTAGTGAGACCATACATGTAAGTGGGATCATTTTCTAGTCCACCCAGAGCTTTGGGGATTTCAGGGGGTGTCGGCTGTTGGGCGGTTTAATAGCCAATTGAGTCATCTTTCTAAGATTCCTTTTGAATCTCTCTCCCTCTCCCGGGGAGATCCACGTGACCAGTTTTTGTAGTCAGCAACAAGTGTGTGCGTGTGTGTGTGTGTGAGTGTGTGTACATATGTACGAGTGTGTGTGTGTGTGTGCACGCGCGTGCGTTGCATGTGTGTGTGTCTCTCTTTCTCTGGCTCTCGAGCATCAAAAGATAAGAGATATCTATTCAGAATACCAATATGCAGGTACAAGTATAGCTGTCTCAGGGTTGTTTGTTCCTGGAGCTCGCATTGCATTACATGCTATTATAATGATCACGCTGGCTCCATCCCTTATCTCCTAAGCTACCACCCCCCCCCCCTCCCGGTGCCTCTGGCCAGTGTTGACTCCGAGACCCACGGTCGGACGAGCTGCCCAGGCCTCACCACCACTGCCGTTTCTGTGCTGCCTTCTCGATACATACGTATGTACACTGTATATCATGTGCACATTCAAATGTCTGAAGAAAAAATTGCAAAACCTACTTATGGCTAGTGGCTGCTGCTGAAAGAAGTTTATTCCCCACTGAATCCCCAGTGGGTGACGGTCCATTCACGGTTACTAGGCTTATGCCTGTTTTGATTCCCACTGTAAATAAAGAATACAACAACAACAACCACAACAACAACAACAACAACAACAACAACAACAACAACAACAACAACAACAACAACAACAACAACAACAACAACAACAACAACAACAACAACAACAACAACAACAACAACAACAACAACAACAACAACAACAACAACAACAACAACAACAACAACAACAACAACAACAACAACAACAACAACAACAACAACAACAACAACAACAACAACAACAACAACAACAACAACAACAACAACAACAACAACAACAACAACAACAACAACAACAACAACAACAACAACAACAACAACAACAACAACAACAACAACAACAACAACAACAACAACAACAACAACAACAACAACAACAACAACAACAACAACAACAACAACAACAACAACAACAACAACAACAACAACAACAACAACAACAACAACAACAACAACAACAACAACAACAACAACAACAACAACAACAACAACAACAACAACAACAACAACAACAACAACAACAACAACAACAACAACAACAACAACAACAACAACAACAACAACAACAACAACAACAACAACAACAACAACAACAACAACAACAACAACTGTACAAGTCCCTAGAATACTACAATGCCCTCCCTGATAGCATTCGTGACGTCTCCTCCCGACCTGCTTTCAAACAAGAAATCTGCTCAATCTGCTCCTGCAGCGCTCACCCTCTCCCATACTTGTAAAATTCAAAGTGATGGAAATCACTTTCCAACTGCATAACCCACAGCATCTCAGGCCTCTTTTACGGGCCACAGCATCTCACCTTCTCGTAAACTCCCCCCCCCCCCCATGGCTGGTTAAAATCGCCCGCATCACATGCTTATTGGCACTATGTCATCGTGATTGTGGAATAATAATAATAATAATAATAATAATAATAATTTCGTAATACGTATTCGCATGCAACGAAGCAAATCCACACAATTCAGTAGACGCTTCTTTTCTATCAAACGTTTTCTTTCCCTTCTCTTCAGGATAGTACAGGGAATGTTGTAAATTTGAAAAACACATAACTATATAGAGAATGAAAGAAAGAAAAAGTCAACACTTCAACATAGGTGTTAAAATGATTAAAGTGTTAAAAACTCAAAAACAAACAGCTGCAAGTTGTAGACAAACACGTTGAACACATCAGGGAACACTTGTCACACTTTCACGAGGTGTGACACCAAACAACTGCAACGATAACACATTCTCCTTCTGTACACATAGACAACTTGATGACAATGACAATGTCATGTATAAACAGTTGGATGGAGTTGCGATGGGATCTCCACTTGGTCCGGTATTAGCAAACATATTCGTTGGATTTTGCGAGTCATCCATTCCCCCATCGCTATGGCCCTCGGTATACTACCGTTTTGTAGATGATGTTTTTTGTCACGACGAGGACCAAGAAACCTGCGAGAACTTTTTAACAACCCTAAACGGACTACATCCTGCATTAAAATTCACTGCAGAAGGTGAACGGGACGGTGTGATATCCTTCTTAGATGTCAATATTACCCGCAACAACGACACCAAGAGTTTAGACATGACGGTTTACAGAAAACCCACCTTTACTGGCTTGTATATTCCATGGGGAAGCTACACACCAACTAAATCCAAAGTTCACCTTGTCAAAGCACTAGTCTATCGTGCCCATCGAATCTGCTCTCCTCACCTTCTTCAAGAAGAACTGAGGCGGCTCACATCAATTTTGACAAACAATGGATACCCCTCGTCACTACTAACAAAACTTATTAATAACAAACCAATCACGCAGGATCCGAAACCATTTGGACCGGACAGGCGCCCCGTGGTACTCCGCTTCCCCTGGGTGGGTGCTGGTTCTGCGCGCGTCGAGAAGGAGGTGCGCAACATTGTCTGTTCGTCTTACCCGTGCGTGAAATTGTATTTTTAGTATTTGGAACGACGCGTGCGTTCAGTGTGAAGAAGGACGTTCTACCTACCCTTAGTAGAAGCAACCTTATCTATTTTTTTCAGTGCCGAGAATGTGAAGATCGGTACGTAGGTAGAACCCTTCAACACCTGGGCGCACGCATCCGTCAACATGTGCCGTTAGGTCTTGTCCCTGTTGACGCTCGTGGTACTCGTCCTCGTCGTGGCCGTCCTCCAAAATGTGCTGTGCAGTCCGATACTGGAACGCCTTTGTCTGCGTCCAGTGTAGATGTACGCATGCGCGCCTCCGCCTCGACGGGCGGGGAGCTTGGCCCATCTCAGACTAGCGTGAGGAAGCGAGGGAGACCGTCTCGAACCCAATGTGACACTGGAGCTCATAGACACCGGAAGAGTTACCAGAAGCAAGGTGAAGAGACGGAGTACTGGGGATTTGAATACGTCGATAATGGAAGTGACAACAACGATCAACAAGAGGAAACGAGGAAGACCAAGAAGTGAAACGAAAACGGCCATGAAATCAACAAAAACGGACATGAAATCAACGGACGTTGGAGGTGTGGACCGGAGCAACCAACCAAACAAGCCTAACGGAAGAGAACAACGGCAGGCGTTGAAGGTGACAGAGCTAAGTGATCGGACATCGTCCATCAAGCGTCATTTGTCGGGCAGTGCTAGTTGTCGTAAGTTGTATAGTGATGATATCTTTTCGATTTTGACTCGTGGAAGGTCTAAGTTACATCTTGCTGTGTTAGAAGCTCTGTATATTCGTAAACTAGATCCAGAACTATGTGTACAGAAGGAGAATGTGTTATCGTTGCAGTTGTTTGGTGTCACACCTCGTGAAAGTGTGACAAGTGTTCCCTGATGTGTTCAACGTGTTTGTCTACAACTTGCAGCTGTTTGTTTTTGAGTTTTTAACACTTTAATCATTTTAACACCTATGTTGAAGTGTTGACTTTTTTCTTTCTTTCATTCTCTATATAGTTATGTGTTTTTCAAATTTACAACATTCCCTGTACTATCCTGAAGAGAAGGGAAATAAAACGTTTGATAGAAAAGAAGTGTCTACTGAATTGTGTGGATTTGGTCGTTGCATGCGAATACGTATTACGAAACTGTTTTCCCACCGCCTCCAAACTACTGTTTGAATAATAATAATAATAATAACTTATCTCTTATTGGCGATGGTGCCATCGTGAGAATAAAGAATTCAAATTTAAAACAACAACAACAACAACAACAACAACAACAACAACAACAACAACAACAACAACAACAACAACAACAACAACAACAACAACAACAACAACAACAACAAAGAAAACAGGCGGTGGTGAATGGTGTTTTCATAATGGGCCGTATGATCAGAGACGTGTGAAAGCATTTTGCGACTTCCTGGTGGAATGATGGACGTACAGTCTACACTGTACACGATTTGCTAGCATTCACTGCCTGCCTTTTCTGCACCAAGCATGCAGATCCTGCAGCCTAGGAAAGTGAATTGGCACGTGCGAACTTTCCTAGGCTGTTTACCTTTCTATAACCATCCACGGTTGGTAGAGCCCTGGTCTTGCGACCATCTGAACCGTATGGGTGTTAGCCCCGGTTCTGACCCTCTGTATTCCAGGGAGTTCCCTTTTAAAATCTTCTTCTTGTTGTACGGTCAGTTGTGTATTCCTTGTTCGCTCCTGGATGTCTTGTTGATACTCAGTCCTCATAAACTCTGTATAATGCTGTCATTGTCATTGTCACCTGTCATTAGTTGTCAACCAACAACATGTTTCAATAAAACAAGGTTTATCTACAATATACATGTACATGTATGTCTTTGTATGATGTACAATGTCATGTACATGTATATTGTAGGTTGTATTCTTACTGTGTGACTACTGCCACTAGTACTGGGTACTGTAGTCTGTAAACTACTACTAGTGTGAACTCTGTTGTACCATCACTCACTACAATCAGTCCTAGATCCTCCTATTCAATTAATTGCGATGTCATTGTAGGTCACATGCTACCTCTTCTGTTGTCCTTGTCCCGCTCTTTCTTTGTCATGTTAAAATTAAGTTGGCCATAGGTAGTAAGGCCATGATTGTAC